TAGATGTTTGTGGTATAGCCGTCAATATTAGCCGGTTGGGGTTAGGTTGAAATTTTAAACAAACACTTTTTAACACATTTGCCATAACTACGAGTCTCTACTATAAAAACACAATGTAATTGCGGCGTTCTCTATTAAAAATGTGTGGTGGTTAAGTCGTCAATAATTACCACCTTAATTAATCTTTCCTAACCTATAAAATTACTAAATCTAAAAAAAAAAGTTATAATATTTGTGATTTCGGTGTATAGTATGTGTGTGTTATCAGTGTTCACATGAGAAGGGACCACCACATATTTTACAGACAAATATATTAATATGTAATATCTCTATATGTGTAAATTGTAAAATTTTCCCTCCACCCTTCTTCAAAGCCCTGTCCACTTTGAACAACCAATATTACTTTTTACTTTTATCCTCTTCACCACTGATCGGCTCGTTTGCAACTTGGGCGATCGGTCACGTGACTCACGTCTGTTAACGCACTGTTAGTAGGTACTGGGCATGCACCGGCTCCTGAATGTACCTGAACCTGCTCCAGTGTTGGTCAAGTCTGTTCTTGAAGGAGCTCACACTCGGTGCCGTCACAACACTTTCTGCTAGATTGTTCCAAGAGTTCACAACTCTCACTCCGAAAAAATTTTGCCCTCACAGTTTTCTGGACCTGCGGCTTCTTCAGCCTTGATCTGTGACCCCTTGTGGGGCGAGCGTCCGCCAGCTCCAGGTAAGGACACCCGATTGAGTAGTGCCCCTTGAGATGCTTTTACACCTCAATTAGGTCACCCCTTGCCCGTCTGTAGTATAAGCTAGGCAAGTTCAGGCGCTCCAATCTCTCAGGGTAGTTGAGGTACCGAAGTGCAGGCACCAGTCTGTCAGTAATTGGGGGCTCATTTGTGGCGGAAGTTGAGGTCAGATTGCTTAAAGCAACACAAAATGCTCTAAGAAAACTTATTTTTGTTAGTAGTTTCCGTGGTCGACATAAAACGAATGTTTACTCTGAAAATTAATAAATTAACTTGTATCGGTCACAGACGTGACCGACCAAGTAAGCGGCTAACGAGCCGATCAGTGTGGCGAAGAGGATAAAAGTAAAGGTAAGAAAAGATGTTTATTCCCGGCGTTTAGGGTTATATCGGCCGCCGGTAAGGCTGATTTTGTTTTCAAATTTATTTATCTCCATGTGTTAATGTCAGTATTAAGGGTGGAGATGATATGTGAAGTATGTTATTATGGTGTACAGTAGATATGTTCATTGTTCAATTCTGTTTCGTACATGTCGCCAATACACACAAGTGACCTAGGTAACTTCGGTACTGCACTAGTATCGAAATTATGTATGCATTTATCACGTTTAACTACCGAATATTTACCCATCTCACTCAGAAACGGAATATCAACAGCTCCCCTGACTCCCCAATCTGTACCACAGAAAAGTTAGAGGATAGGTAATTTTTTCCTTATGGTACATAATCGCTTTGATAATTAAAAACATGTTTTCCCGATAGTTTAGAGTCTAAACTTTAGACAATTCTAAGACACTTTATTCTATAACGTTCCCGTAAAAGAAAAATGTCTCGGAATTGGTAAAACATCATATGGACATCTGAATGGGATACGTTGAGTTAAAATATTCATACAATATTTAAATATGCTGTCTGTACGGAGTCTGTAATAGCTGACGATATCCTGGTTAATATTCGTCTTTCACCCATTCCTCTTCTAGTGTTTCTGACTACACTGAATTTTATTTTTTAATTACGAATCAATATTTAGGAGTAACGTTTATTGTGCAAATGCTTAAATTTGAATATATTTGCCCTCAATATAGACCTACTTTCAGCTACGCCAAGGTGATTAGTGGTTTGCCAGAATAGGTTAGGTTAGATTAGGGTAGGGTAAGTTAGGTTAGGTAACATAATATTATATATTTACCATTGGTCCAGGTTAGTGACAATGTGGTCATGGTTAGTGGTAATTAGTCAGCAAAGGTAGGTTCAGTTAGGTTACGTTAAGATCCCTTCTCTTGATGAGAAATAATTTTTCTGGTGTATTTTGATGTGAGTATTTTAGTAAAATGTGACCTTCATTTCTTGTAAAAATTGTAATTTTTGTGTTTTTGACAAATTTCTAGAAATAAAAAGACTCATTTGCACAAGAAGTGAAGGCCATATCTGACTGAAATACACCAGAAAATCTATTTCTCATATCAAAAGAGTGGAATGGGCAAAAAAAGAATAATTTCCTATATCAGCACTCAATGAAGCTATCGAGTGTAGGACAAAAGCCCCTAGCACAAATAGTAATAAGAATTTTTATATAATTATTTTTGTTCTTTATTATTTACAGTTTACTCTTTTTGATCATAGCCTAACCTAACCTATTTTGCACTTTAACTGAGGGGCTATTGTCCTACGTTGCACTTTAATGTTTTTTTTTTTTTTTTGTCCAGGAGGCTTTTGTCTGGACCCCATAGCTATCAGCACATGACACCTGCCTAAGCTAATTATGATAAAGTTGTAGGTTAGGATTGCAGCTTTATTTATGGGCGACTCTTCTGGATTTTCACTTAAAACAATTGTTGTAATGAAAAGAATGTATTGTGAGTTTATTGTAATAATCTACTTCATCCTGTGAAAAGGACCCAATTCAGGAAAATTTTTATAGAACAAAACTTCTTTCACACCTCTTGAATATATGAAGAAGGTTGGAGGAATTACAACTTTTCAACTTTTTTTTTTTTTTTTTTTTTTTTTTGTAAATATGGTCTGTTTACCTGCTGATGCCATGTTTACAGTTAAACTTTTGAGACATTTGCCCCCGAGCAACGCTAAGCTCACTTTCCACCAGACGTTTCATGTGAACTGTTAATAACAGAATAACACCCTACCTAACTTTACCTAAATCAACCTCACTTAAATTAATGGTCTTTCATTTTTGGGTAGGTATGTTAATTTAGGTAAGTTAGCTTAGGTAAGTTAGCTTAGGTAAGTTAGCTTAGGTAAGTTAGCTTAGGTAAGTTAGCTTAGGTAAGTTAGGTTTGGTAAGTTAGGTTTGGTAAGTTAGGTTTGGTAAGTTTGGTAGGTTAGGTTTGCTTGTAGGTTTGGTAGGGTAGGTTAGGTTAGGTTTGGTTTGGTTTGGTTTGGTTTGGTTTGGTTTGGTTTGGTTTGGTTGGTTGGTTAGGTTTGGTTGGTTAGTTTGTTTGTTTTATTTACAAGAAATCAATGATTGCTAGTAAACATTCTTACCTTATGACGAGACGCTAATCAGGTATGAAATGTAGGCCTGGACAAAATCTCCAAACTAATAATACAGAAATTACTGTAATATTGAACACCTTGTTATTTGTTGATGTATTACAGTAGACCTTTGCTATTCGCGGGTTTGAAATTTGCGATTTCAATGATTTGTGGTAAGCAAATGGTGGCTAATTTGCGAGCCTTTTCCTGCAGCGCAACGAGTCACCCCGTGCAGCATCTCGTGGTTTACTCTCCAAACTTTAGCGTTTCTGAGTGAAATTGTCCCTAAAAGACCGCCTAGTGTCAGTGCTAGTGATGCTAGTGTAAAAGGCAGAAGTCAGTGATGACCCAGACAAAGAAAGTTGATTTATTAGATAAGTTAAAAAGGGGGGCGAGTGCTGCCGCGGCTGGTCGGTTGTTTGGTATAGGCATACAGTAAGTGCACTAAGGTAGTATAAGTTGCAATTTGCAGTTTTGCCTATTCACACCATTCCTTTGAACCTAGCCCCCGCAAATAGCGAGGGTTTACTGTACTTATTTAAAAAAAAAATTATAATGATTGATACTTAAATTTTCAAAAGCTGCTGCCAGTACAGTACATGCCAACAGTGTTTAGAGACATGACCAACCGCCCAAGCGATTAACAAGCGAAAAGGATAAAAGCAAAAAAAGTAAAAAGTGTATATAATATGGAAGCATTAATGTCTTATAAAAAATTGTTTTTTAGCACTCACTTAAACAGCTTATAATGACAGCTGCACAGAGGTGGCTCATTAATATAGGCTCATGTTCAGGATGGTGGAAAAACATTAGGAACTTACAATTCCACCAGCCTTTTTTTGATTTGAGAGAAAATAAATAATTTTTTTCTCTATTTTTCTTTGGTGGTTTTAATCAGAATGCTTCTGTAAACTACTACTGAATTTACTTGGGTGACAGGAAGTAGACCATGATCACCATGTATTTGGGGGATTGGCAAAACCATTACTGCATAACTTGATTTTAGAAGGAATGAGCCAAATACTGTAGTACTGTACAGTACTGCCAAACTTAGGGAGGTTTATGTATTGCTCATTGGTTTATTCTTGCTCAAATCAGACATACTGTACTACCTGTAGTTAGTTACTATTTTATTACTAAAGACCATAGTCTTACTTTGTCACAAGCAAATTCAAATTAAATTTTTCCTGCCCTTCCACTGGAATTAAGCCTGAGTAGATTCATTTTTGGGTATGGAAACTACATGGAGGATATCATTATTCTGGTCCAGTAAAAGCAGTTGCATATAATGTGCAGTACCAATAGTTATTAGACCATTTGAATCAGCAAGCATTGATTACATATTTATTAATTGTGGTTGAAGTTTGGAGTTACCTTGGTGAAAGTCACTAAACTCGCTTAAACATTTTGCATTCCCAGCTTTCATAACCTTATAGGAACTGTAGCTTCTGGGGCTTTCATTCGGGGTGTTTTGCTTAAGTTCATCCTTTAAAGATGAACATGGGCATTGGTATTCTTAGTCTTTAATGTGGTTCCTGGTGTAAATGATGATAGTATCTTTCATTCATGAATGTTTTTCATTTGCTGGCCTGAGCTTACTTGAATCTTCTGATTTAAAATGAGTTGTAAATACCCTGTACTTTTACTTTTTACTTTTATCTTCTTCGCCACTGATCAGCTTGTTAGCCGCTTGGGTGGTCTGTCACGTCACTGTTACGCACTGTTGGCAAGAACTGAGTATGAACTGGCTCCTGAATGTATCTGAACTTGCTCCAGTGTTGGTCAAGTCTGGTCTTGAATGAGCTCACGCTTGATGCCATCATAACACTCTGTCAGATTGTTCTGTTGCAAGAGTTCACAAATCTCACTCTGAAAAAGTTTTCCCTCACTGTTTTCTGGACTTGTGGCTTCTTCAACCTTGAGCTATGACCCCTTGTGGGGCGGGTGTCCACCAGCTTCAGGTATGTACACTCGACTGAGTAGTGTCCTTTGAGATGTTTGTACACTTCAATTAGGTCACCCCTTGCCCATCTGTAGTACAGGTTGTACCTCTCTTAGTCCGGCATTCTGTGGTCCAGAAACTCCCATGGTCCGGAACGATTTTAGTTTGTCCAATAGGTAGATAAGCAGCTTTTTTTTTTACTTATCTGAATTACTGTATTATTATTATTACTGAAGTATTGCATTTTCGCCCCTCAGGCTCCAATGTGGGTCAGTGACCTATGCCCGGGTGGGCTAATCCCCGTAAAAAAAAAACAACAACAAAGCCGCGAGAAATTAAGGTTTATTTACATCTGGCAGTTCGGCTCTCTCTCTCTGTTTGTCTATACAGTACAGAGTACAACATTTAACCCTTCAATATATATGAACAGTAAATAAGAGTTGCTTTCATATTCTTATGTAGAGTAATGACGATATGTTTTTCACATGTGCGCACTTACTGTACATACTCGCAGTCTCACTTTTTTTCTTTAACATTAATGGTTTGCTACTTTTATTGTTCTATTTATTAACATTAAATAACATTACTTAAAAAAACCATATTAATTTTTTACATTAATTTTACTACAGCTACAACCAGGGTCTTATTTTCTTGTTTTATATGTAGAACCACTCGGTCACTGGTTTTGTTATCAACGAAAACAATGCTGTCTCATTTCCTCGTGTGTTTTAATATTCTACGTATTATGAATGAATTGTATTGCTCATTTTGCACACATAAACATTAATTCAATAAAAAAGACATTCAGTAATAAACAATAATGAATCTTTTGTACATAAGAGAAATGACGCTGTTTACACGATTGTGCACGTCATCTGAACGTTGGCGAGCCGTTCAAACCCATCGAAATTCGAGTTTCTGCCGTCAAAATTTTTAATTATGTAGTGTTTTTTGTGTCCAAATAAAAAACGGTGAATTAAAAACTCGTGAAATTTGTGAAGCTACTGTACGACATTTAACCCTTCAATATGTCTTCAAAGAGACCACGAAGCAGTGAAAGTGGTGCTAACTTAAGCGCAAGTCACTATCTGTCCAGGAAAAGGGTGAATTTCCATGGTCCGGAAATTTCCTTGGTCCGGCACCGGTCAGGTCCTGAGGTTGCCGGACTAGAGAGGTAAACCTGTACATTATATGCTAAGCAGTTGCATTCTGATCTCTCCGGGTAGCCCTCCTTTGGACATTTTCAATCAACTGACAGTCTCTAGCATATCTCAGGGACCAGATAAGGGTGGGAGTACTCCAGACAGGGAAGCACCTCACTCCTGAAGGTTGTTACAAGGGACGGACCGTCTAGATATCTGAATGACCTTCTTATAAGACCTACTAGTTTCGTTGCTTGATTTAGCTTCTTCTCACAATGGCCCAAGAACTTAAGTTCATTGTCGACATATATACCCAGGTCCTTTTCATATTCGGTTTATTAATGCAATTTCTTCGTGCTGTAGGGATATGTGGTATGACCTAGGTGCATACATTTGTACTCTTTTACTGAAAATCTGTTAGTCTCATGGTATGAGACTGTGTCCCATTACTCATTTTCTAATGTATGGTAACTTGGGTTGTGCAGTATTTTCATGTTCACATGGTGAGCAAGGACTCGTAGTTGTCAGCTTAACTGGCAACTGATTTCTCCAAACTCTCCAATTTTCAAGGGCGTCAGTTAAGAGATGCTATTTCTAGATTTCTAGTAATTACAGAACTGAATTTCAAGAATGTAGTCTTGAATCAATTTGGAGGTGCTAAGAACCCTGGGTGTCAACCTATAAACTTACTATATAGAACATGAGTTCCTCAATCCATGCTTGATTATATAAGGGGATATCAGGACCAACCCATATATTAGATATATTTTTATCATTCAGTTCTTATAACAGTTGCAATTTTATAAGATTTTGTACAGAATTTTATTACTGTACATTGTAAAGTAAAGATTAATTTTTTTTATTTGTTCTGCAGCAAAAAATGTTCTCAAGGATCAGATATAGAAATTGTTTTCTGCACCAAGGCAGTTCTTTGTTCCAAGGAGGACGATGTTGTAGCTCACTCATCAGTAAAGCTCGAGAAAAGCTCTCTCATCTGGGGGAGGGACAAGTGTCTTTGGTAAAGGACGATGTATCAGGGATCGCAACTATCACATTGGAACATGCCCAGAAGAAAAATGCTCTCTCAGGTATGATTACTGATACCAAAATACTATAGTTTAAAATACTGTACAGTATACTGTAATTAAATTTTTACTTGTTTCAGGTTTTCAAATTACTATGTGCTAAACTCATCTTGCATCATTCTACCATTTTTCCTTTTTTATTTTTTTATTTTTTTATGTGTATGTCACAATTCTACAGTACCCTGTACCTCAAAAAAAGATAACAATTATGGAAGTGAGTTGTGCAAGACAAGTGTTGCTACGCATCTTCAAATTTCATTTTGTCTTTCAAATATTGTTGTTTCTTGTGTATATGTTATGACATACACAAGAAACTGCCCTTTTCTTTCATTTTATATCCTATATTTACTAAGAGGGCATTCATTTTTGGTCTACATCTGATAGTGTAATTATTTGATATTGCAATTGTTTGAGGTTGACTTTACTATATATACAGTATATCATCTTAGATGCTGATCAGCTTCTCTGATAAATCAATTATAGTCCTTGTTTTGGCTTTAGGGATTAGATCATTTAGAATAAGTCTTAAAATTGTATCCGTTTGATGTAAGAAATCACTAGAAGGATGTGAAAATACAGTACAGTACGTACACCTGTATTGACATCCTGTTTGACTCCATGGAGTTAAGAACAAAGTAACTTTCATTGATGAATCTATATTTAAATAAATAGATACAGGAATGTACAGTGGTTTATTTTAAAACATTAAAAGTTTTGTTGATAAGTACACAGCAAGCCTATTCAGGCTACTTTATATCTTACTTCTCAGTGAGAAGAAAGTTGTACTTTATCATGTGTTACCTCAAGTTAGAAAATTATATAAATACAGTACTGTACTGTACTATTTCTGGCAGGTCAAATGATGGTGCAGTTGGCTGACATTACTGAAGAATTGTTTTCCTGGTCTTTAGGAAAAGCTGTGATCCTGCAAGCTCAAGGTGATACATTCTGTTCTGGTGGAGACCTTACCACTGTTAAAGCCATAAGTAACCCTAATGATGGCTTATTAATGTCAACTTTAATGCATAATACTCTCACTCAGCTATACTGTTTACCACTTGTAACACTTTGCCTTGTACATGGTAAAGCATTAGGAGGTGGAGCCGAATTAACAACTGTCACAGATTATAGGTTATTTACCAACTTAGGGGAAGTAAGTTTCGTTCAGGGTCGTATGGGAGTTGTTACTGGTTGGGGTGGTGGAACGAGACTTGTAAAACTTCTAGGATATAGTGTAGCCCTTGAACTCTTAACCACTTGCAGAAAACTAGATGGAAAAGAAGCTTCTAAAATAGGATTTGCTGATCATATCATTGAAGCAGCAAATAGACATGAAGAAACAAAGAATTGGCTAATTCCCAGAATTCTCCATGAACAAGAGGTGATTCAAGCTATGAAGAAAATAGTTGTTGGAGGTCGAGACTTAACCTTGGAAGAAAGTCTTCTCAATGAAAGGCTTAACTTCTCACCCTTGTGGGGTGGACCAGCCAATATGAGAGCACTTGGCAAAAATATAAAACATAAGTGAAATACAATTGCAGGTACACTGTATAATTTTTTGACCTGACGACTTAACTAAAAAACTTGTCTACTATGTTACTGTACTGTCATCCCTCGCTCAAATGGTTTTTATGGTGTCAATTTCACACCTGGAGTATTTATGTCATGGCAAATTATCTGACACTTTAATGGTGACAGTTATTTACAAAAATCCCCATGTCGGGACTTGGTTATGACAGGGAGTTACTACATAATTATTTTGCCCCAGCCCATGATGTCTAGAAGTTTACTTTGTTTTTCTCCCTGTAGACCTTTGGTGATGTAACTATTGAGTCACCAAGGAAGGGCATCAGGTAAAAAATGGGATTGAGGGATCAGTTTTGCATTTTTAAATGTAGTATGTACAGGTACAGTATAGTTTATAGTTTTGCAAATAAAAAATCGTTTTATGTACAGTATAGTATTTATATACGTACAATAGTTCTTGCCAAATTGATGGTTTGTCAATGTATGGCCAATTGAATTGCATTAGAAAATATGCATAAACTAAACTTTCCAAGGTACTGTATAATGCACTGAAAAATACTCGTATTACTGTGTAAAGTATATTTATTTTATTGTTAAACTACACTATAACATCACTTATGTAGAAAAATATTCAAGCTTCATGCAAATACCTGTATTGTATACAGTATTACTTAAATCATATTTTACAACATAAATACTGACGAAAGGGTAAAAATTTAGCAAAATAAAGTACAGAACTTACTTCTGTATTGTTTACAACTGGCAACTGCTAAAATTAAAGACCTCTTATCTGCAACTTTCATCAAATACAGTACTGTACTGTACTGTACAGTATAATTATTGTAATGTGATGAGATATAATGAAGAAAACCACAATAAAGTTTGCATAATAAGGTATGATACTTTGGATAACAACAGCTTAACACAGTTTTATAGAATGAGAAAAATGAATATTATTGGATAAAAATTTAAGGTAAATTTTTTAATATACAATAATATTCTATTAAATTGTATGAAGTGAAGTGTGGGTAGCAGGATATTTCTATTGCTTCCTGACCATCATATCACACCCATATCCCTGCATCCACCAGCCACCATACTGTGTCTCAGCAATATGTTATGTGAGAATGTGGTAATTTTTGTGGCAATATTGATAGCGTAGAACTCTCACCCAGTATTGTTAGTAGTACTAAAGGATGACAGGTGGTATTAAGTCATGTGTATCCCTCAATTGCAAGGAGAGGAGACTCTTATCACAACAGTCCATCATGGATTTAATAATGTCCCTATACGTACTGCCATATTCTCGGTCACTTAATTTACTTTACTTAATTTCTAATCATTACGTAATCTACTCCTTAAAATATGATTGCTGTCACCAGACTTCAGGTCAGTTTATGTGGTGTGAAACTAAAATCTCGCTTCTTTTGGCATTGTAGCAGGCTAAGAAGTCTAGCACTGAGAGGTCGGGTTTTTTGTTAATCAAATTTTAAGATGGAAGGAAGGTTGAGTTATCAGTCATCATTCTTAACTAGTTTATTAATAAAATTGGTCTTATATTAGGTATACTACACTCAGTCACAATACAAAAATAGCTGACCTTCCCAACTGAGGTCATTCCTTCATAATACAAAAATAACAACCTTCCTCTTGTCACTCCGTAGCACCTGAATAAAAGGAACAAGATTGCACATTTAGGGCTACTGACAGGTATTGTAGCTTACTCTCAGCACCCAATTAACACATAACAGGTACCCTTCTCACCTGATCCTCTTGCAAGGTAGACTAGGTATTTCAGCACACAATCATACAAAGACCATACCTGCATTCTTATTACTTAGATCACTGCAGTAGTGACAGCACCTCAGAGTAGCACCAACACATCTTCAACACATTGGGTATTACGAACTTGAGGCATCCAGAGATCCTTAGGGAGATTGCACAGTGTCTACAGGCATGTCCTACTACACCAGGTGGGCTCTTCTCACACAACACTAGTTCCTAGGCCTGGCACTTTTCCCAACATCAAACATCTTTCTCCATGGCATCCACAGCTCACCCTCACACCCAAGTTCACCCCACCTGTACACGTGTCCAGTAAGAAATTTCTCCCATTACTGAATGTAAACAAAATGTTTACTGGTCCTACCAGTCTTTGTACTAACACATAAAATGACAAAACTTGTTAACTAACTTACTATATAAACTACAGTATCCATTATGAAAGGATTTAAAATGTACATAAAACGTGACACAGAATAACACTGACCTGTCCTGTTCAAAAGTTCTCCTGTTACTGAGTCTTTGTGCAGGCACCAGTGCCAGGACTAGGCCTAAGGGTGCCAATACTTACAAATGACAGTCAATTTATTTTGGCCCCACATTTACATTTTCATAGGTATTGTGACTTCATGCCTTATAATTTTATGCCTTAATATGTCTTATTCTTAAGCAGTGTGAAATAAAGCAAAGTCTAGGATTGCTTTTGTTGCCCTTGTGGTGTTGTGGTAGCAATCGCTGTTCACACGCAGGGGTCCCGGGTTAGATTCCTGACTATTGAGGTATTGTTTGTGTATTGAAGTCCACGTATATATGAACTGCTGAGATATATTGGTAGCCTTGGGCTTTCTAGTTGGAGTACTGTATATAGAATGCTACTACAGTTTGACCATATAGTTGGCATGGGCTATCCCCAGTGGAGGCTCAGGTTACTTAAGAATAAGACGAATGAACAGGCTTTGTGTGAAATAAAACAAAGCCTATGATTGGTTTGTTGCCCTTGTAGTGCCGTGGTAGCGATCCCCATTCACATGCAGAGGTCCAGAAAAAAAAGAGAGAGATAGTACATTACAGTATTGTGAATTGGCTGTCTACCAGAGTGAGTCATCATTATTATCATGATCATCACTGTTTTACAGCCTTTTACAAGCTTGCGTGGGTTGGGCGTGCTTACGAGATGGCAATTTTCCAAGCAGCGTGGTGTGATATTTAATTAAAAATGTTTCTTGCTTTATTTGAAAAAATGCAAAACATAAAACAAAACAAAAACTCCATTTCAATGAAGCAATCTGAAATTCATGCAGTTGGGAGGAATTTCCCCTGGGGACAACCAGGATAATAGGCCAAGAGTTGATGAGTCATTGTGTGATGAGTGCTGCTACTTTTCTGCAGCTTATAACTGCATCAGCTCCATTGTAAATGGTACAGAGGTACATATGGCAGAATGTTTGCTGGGAAAATAATTATATCATTGGCCAAAGGCATGTGTATTATTCATACGCACTAGTGCATTATGGCAGGAAGGAAAGGGATAACAAATTTGCCTACAATTTCAATTTTCCCATTACATAAATAAAATACAGAACATAAATTTATGTACAGGTATTTCTAGAAAATTTAAGGGCTGAAATGTTTCAAGAAAACATACCTTGTATTGTACCACTACCATTACTTGTTTATTTTTCTTTTACAGTACAGAACTTAGTAGGTAGAAAGGAGGAGGTTTTTTGGTGTGGCTGATATTGTGCTCTATGCTAAGGCAGATCTTGCATTATAACTAGGAAGGATGGTTGCTAATTTGTTGATTACAAGGGATGTGTTCATTGCCTCCCTTTCCTCATCATTGGTCGGATATAAAAAGTTTTGTGTGTTGTGCATTGTTTTGGAGCTGTCAGAAGTAAAATCACTTAATTTTGTTGATACACACTCCAAAAAATTTGGGCTCAATAAGCAGTGCTTTAGTTTTCGGTTTACACTTATGTAATATTATAGTAGAAAGATATCAATGCACTTGCAATTAATCAGTTCATTGTGGTAGTTTTACAAAAACTATCGCACAGTACTGCATACAGTGTACTCATACAATAGTGCAAAATAAGATCATATAGACACCTGTAGCCTATGGGTAATAACTCAAGTTATAGGAAAATTATATGAGAAAAAGTGCAACTCCAAAATTGTTGATCCTACTACAGTCAACCCTCACTTTACGCGGTTAATTCAACCCACAGGGTACCGCAGAAAGTGAGAAACGCGTAAAGTGAACAACATAACATATGGGATTCATTGAAATAGAGACCGGGCCGACCCCCAAACTCCACTTTTTGACGACACACAACTATGTTGTAGTAAAGATATTATCTTAACTTTATGATGGTATGCACACACAATTAATAATTAAGAGAAATATCAATAATATTAGTTTTTTTAACACTTACATTAGTAGAAAAGATGGCTGGGCACACGGGGATGGGGGGTTGGTTCCGAGGCAGAGGGCAGATTATTGGCCCTCACCTGTATCACTTGTATCAATTGTATCACTATCCACCACAGAGGCTTGCAGGGCCTCTTTGTCAAACCCCTCAAAGTCCATATACCGTAAGTCCATATCCTCACTATAATTATCACTATCACTGACTTGGGCTGGCTGTGGTGGGTGGCGGGTGAAGAACTCAGTAATGTTTTGATGACTGGGCGACCGTGTGGCACCCTGCTCGCACCACTTACACAACATGGCGGATGGCGGGAGAGATGGTGGGAGGTTTGGATCCAAAAATGGCGTGGCTCGCCAGCCGCTCTCCGCGTAAAGGGGTACACGCACCGCGGAATGTGAGCATTCCTGTTTCGGCAGGGTACCGCGTAAACGTGGAAACGCGGAATGTGGGACCGCGTAAAGTGAGGGTTGACTGTATATGATGGGAAAATTGCTGTATGGAGCAATGTACTGTACTGTATATGGCATGGTCTTCAACATTGGAGATACCCTTTAATAGCTCATACATATGGAAATATAGACAGAACGTAAGGCAGGGAAGGACTTGGAATGAGATAATCTTTTTATCTCTTCCTTCTATCAACTCTCAAAGGTTATTTTGTTTGAATGAAATTTTATCAATTTGACTAGCTTTTACTGAGAATAGTGTATTGATAGCTACATAAATTAGAAAACGAAAATACAAATTATCTTATAATAAAAAAAATACATAAAAATCACATACACACTTTATAGTCATTATAATTATCACTAAACCTAAAACTCTGTATGGCAGTATACTTAACTCACAACAATTAAAAACGTTTTTAAGTACAGCACACTCGCCACAAAAAGTTCTCAAATGCTCTAGGGGGTCATACAATATGACAAAATGAACAAGAAATCTGAACAACTGTCTCTGAGTAAATTTATTACAAATTAAATTACTTCTCTTCACCTGTAAATACTATAAAGATGAGCAACATATTATTATGAGATATTGGGTCACTTCACAACCAGGCTTATCAACCATTCTGAGATGACCTGAGCCATTGTGCTCATTCTGAAATCTGTCATGCCCAGCTGTTCCAGAACTTTTTTGTGGCGAGTGTACAAGTACCTGTACAGTATACTGCACCTCAATTTATGATTATTCTGTTTATAATTTTAGTTTTATGATAGCAAATAACTTATACCTTTATTTATTTTTTTTTCATTTCACAATACATGGACTGTACAGGCACTGTACTTGTAAAATTACATTTTCTTGGGTGGGAAACATGTATATAATTACCCATTATACACCCAAAGAAAATAAAAGTTATACATGTTCAAAGTAGTTTAACCCTAAAAGCCTGGGTGACGTTCCTCTGCGTCCTTAATTTTTGCGGCCCAGTTTAAATGTCCAGAAGGTATGAAGTACTTTGTATAGGATATTTATTTACTTGGTAACTCAAACGTAATCTTTGTCTCAAGTCTAGTGGTCCAGTTACCCACCGCTATCATGATGGATGCACATCCTTCAATGTCTCGTGACCCGCCTCGCTTCTCCACATCCTTAAAGTAGTGCTTTTCATCAAGAGTTGCTTGATTTGAGTGTCATTGATATCGTATCGGGTGATGAAGACAGTTATAGGGAGGAAGCAGACCTTGATGATGTAGTTGTTGAGGTGGCCAGCGGTGAGGACAGTGGTACGTACACAATGGCACTTACTCCCCCTCTCTACCCCATCAGCAAGGTTGTGGTCATAGGCACAGTGTTGGCAGTGGATGTTGGGGACCATGTCCATGCCAGCCACAATAATACACTTGGAATGACTGCACAAATTTTACGTCTGAATACCCGTTTTTGACGGGATTAAAAAAATATATATTATTTTTTTGCTGAAATATGCCCGTTTGGAGGTACGCCGAGTCTGACATCACTCGGGGTGTAAGGGTTAAATGGATACAGCATGTTGTAATAAAAAAATTTAGAAGTTCCATACTTTGACATATCACTCCAGCAATTTCTTAACATCTCTAAATAGTATTGCAGTAGAAGTCCAAAAATCCGGACTGCTTGGGGATTGGGTCGGTCCGGATTTTCTGATTTTCCGGATTTTCAGGCAGTACTTTTAAAATTCAAATTTCAGGAGAAATAAAGAAGAGATGAACAGGTACATTTTGATAGTGTATTCATTAGCAAATATAGCATGCTTCATTTATCAAAACAAGCAGTTTTAAAGATAAAGCTGTGAATTCTAAAATTTTATTCTTTGCCTTTTTTATATCATAAATTGTAGACTTTCCAATGTCGTATGTTTCCATTAGAACAGTATTGCTCACACCACGTTCTAGTTTCTTAATTATTTCAAGTTTGTCACTCAATTTCAATGTGTTCTTTTTCCTCTTCACACAAGGAAGTTTATCTACTTTAGGAGCCATTATTATGGGCTTGTCCAGTACTCTGTAAATGGAAAGAGTAGGACTCAAAATTACATACGTTGTCACAGTTTGATTGCTTGTTTTAAAGTGGTGACCGCGTGGTCGCTTGTTGTCGCTGTGCAGCTGTGGCGCTCACGCATGCACACATACACAAAAAAGCCAGCTAAAAAAAAAAATAGAGTTTGGGTTTTCGAGAAGTCCGGATTCTCGGGTGGTCCAGATTTCTGGCATTCGGATTTTTGGACGTTTACTGTATATCTTGAGATGTCAAGAAAGTGACCAGTAAGGAAAATGGGCAATACCCTTAGTGGTGAGACCTCACAATGTCATCAACCAAGATGTTAAGTTGGTGGCGATAGGCATATTGAAGCTGGCAAAAACACCACTGTTATTGGTAAATTTTAGGACTATCTGAGAGTTGGATTTTTTTCTTCAAGGAAAGAATAAATATGATTCCATTTATGATTGGGTTTTCAGTAATATAATCATATCATAAAGGGAGGCATACCTGTAATGTTGACTAGAAGTGTATACACAGTGCACACTAATGACATTTTTTAACATGCATTTAAGATGTTAATGTATAATCAACGAATAAAAAATAAAAAAAAAAGTTCACACAACTGCAAACACTGAACAACAAACAAGGCACAATGTAGATATTAGATATTATAATTTTATCATTTAACTACCATTTATATCACTGATAAAGACACTGTTCATAAGTCAATACTCACATTAAAAATGTTATTTATATAATTTTACATTAAGATGGAGTACTAAAATAAATTTTGTTCTGTTGTATACGTACTTCTATTTTTAAAATGTTTTAATTCACATTTTAAATAGTTCTCAGATGTACAGTACTGTATATGGGCTGTTAATAATCAAAGCATTTTATTAAAACCATTTTTTTTCATTAATATGAGAGTTGTATGTGACATCACTCAATGGCTAACACTTTTTTATGGATGGCAGATCAAACTAACACTAGCAGTACATTGTCCTTTCGTCCTATTTTCATCGAGCTAATACCTGTACACTGATCTTCTGTTGGGTCAGACACATACAAGGGAAAGTTCTGGGGATAATGTTCTTAATTCCTAATAAATTAATTACAACAGACAAATAAAGTGAAAAGGCTAGACAGTAACTGCACTTACACAACTGTACAGCTTACTATTAAAGGTTAATACATTGTGGTAGTTACTCATTGCATAAACAATGGGAAATTCATCCAATCCTTCAGTTTTGCCAACATATTTTAGAGAACTGTGTAGGGAAGATATTTACAGTATACCTGTATAGTAAAAAAAATACAGTAATAGAAAGATTAATGCTTCTAGGAATTTCAGCCACTTGATACAGAATTTTTACTAATCACAAATTTTAGTACAAGTACTTGGCTACAAGTACAGTAATAACATAATTTAGCCTTCCAAACTGCACAACAGACCTGCTGTAATGTCTTAAATGTCCAACTTTATTTTATACTAGGAAGCCCTATTTTATTTATTTATTTCAATACCCGGTATACAGTATTCTAATATCCTTCATAGAGAGACTCACTAAATCCTTACCATCTTTACAATGCTAACAAATGCTCTTTTAATCCTTTGCTTCCAACTTGCTTATAGTGTACTGCCAGCTGCCTTAAAAATACCTGTACTATCTGGATGGAAAGAAACCCAAGGACAAAGGCACTGAAAAGATATACAGTACTGTACGGGGTTATAGTTAAAAAAAAATCCATAGGGTACAACAGTGGAATAATGCCCCTTTAATTACAGAGTACCTGTACTGTATGTGTTAGAAATAAAAGCTAAGAAATATCAATATTTTAGAGTACAGTACACAGATAAAGTCAACTGTGAAAACACAACCATCAGAGAAATGTTCATCCACTGTTGTATATTTTCGTTGGATCACCTGACCATCTATCACACATTTAGACTCCATAGTACAGTATCTGGTGAGGCAATCATAATGGTATTCATACATCCAATAACTATGGCTGACATTTCTGACTCACACAATTCAACTAAAACATTGAGTGCTTTTGTCAGATTTTTGGCATTTGAAGTTTGACGATCATTTTCACTGCCACATTGGGGCAGTCAACTGTTCTAGAACTCGATGAAACCGTTAGAGTATGAACAATGAGTCACCAGGAGGAGGGTATCTTAACCAGAGAAAAAATCCCTTTAATACACCTGGACAGTATAGTATTCAAACAAAAATAAAAGAACATTTCAATACGTCCGCCACAAAGTAAGTACCACTAACAGTAACGTATTCCATACAAGTATGAACTTTCCATGAAGTAAAGGTACTGATGACGATGATGGCAAGAATGGGTAAAAGAAGTCATATGGAAGTTTTACATCCAGAGTTGGAGGTTGTGAATAAGCAGGCTGTGGTGCCTGAGTTACCTCCACGAATGACACTGATGATACCAGTTCTACTAGTGGTGTTTGGTCCTGTAAAAGGGCATTTTGGCACCCTAAGCTCCCACAAGTAAATTCGATACTCTGTGGTTCTCCGTAGTGCAGAACAATGCCAATAACCTTGGCTTGAGGATTAGCTAGAGATCCTTGTTGACTGAAGGCAATTTCGAAGTGCAAGGACAAGATGAGATCAAAACACTTGCTTACCCCCAGTTCATGACCTGTAGAATAAATTTTTTTAATATACCAGTACAGTACTGTACTTATGGCAAGCATATCAAATAGACTAATAAATAATAACATCAATGGTCGGCAGTGACACTAACTGCATTTCTTAGTGGTCCACAGGTGGCCTAGATTTAATCTTCAAGTGACTGGAGTCTGTCAAGTGGTTCTAATTTTTTACTGCTGGCCAACATTATGAAACAAAAAACTTAACTCATCATATGCAATTTAAAAAAAAAAAAATTAAGTGTAAACTCTTGAACATCAAATATTCCATAATTTCAATGATGCAACTTCCAAAGACAATGACAATACACCAAGAATAAAAAAAAAAATGCTTAATCTTAATAAACACACAACACCCCTTATTGAAATAAGTCAGACACGATTCGCATCAAAATCAATGTTGAGTATAATACAGTATTATCTTTTTTACATGTGCCTCTTAAAATCCATGCATTCCATATCAAAGTTCATGCTTATTTTCATCAACCAAGCATCCCGTCATAATTGCTTTAGTGGACCTAGCATTTCTTTCAAGTTATTAAATAAGAAAAGCAAGATGGACTCCGCTATTTTTTTCCTCTTGTTATCAGAGAATTCTCCAGTTGCTGGACCATTAAGGCTGTTTCAAAAGGTATAATTTATATCTTCAATGAAAAACTTTATCATTTGGATCTACACCAAAGGGTTTGATATCCTTAGGGAATAGGTGGATGAGATCTTACATAAGGGCATAATTTAGTGGTGTAGTCCAAGTCAGTAAATATCTACACTCTTTCTCATACCAAAAGCATCAGATAATACAGGGATTTTAAACTTTACATGGCTGAATGCAGTACTGTACTTACATTTTTTTTTTTTTGAGTTTGAAAGATCTTTGGTTGATGTCTATTGACCCTAAGGATGCCTAATGACATGTTTGTATTCATACAACTTTATGGAAGTTCCTGACATTTCACTCGCCTTAGGACTATTTTAGATTAAAGCTGGTTCTGCGAATGTTTACCAAATTTTTTTGCATATTGTTAGGGTCTTTTAAATGGGAAGGGTGTTTTAAGTTTAGTCTATTTGGACAATTAGTTAATTCTAGGAATTTCATTAAAGGCAGTTATATGTAATACTCCAAGAATTCTTCAAATTCTGGATAGCAGGTTGCTTAGTGAACACGGAGAAGCCCTAGCTAACCCTTATGATAATTTTCACTGGTTAGGTCTTCAGTGGAACACTCAGATTCCAAGTGATAGCAAAGAGAAAGACTCAGGACACAGTCAGCTGGTCTTCTGTCTGAAAACAGTTCACCCCAATCCTAGGGAACTTTGTTCCCTTATCCCAGAGGGATAATTCTGGATAATGTGAGATGACTAGGTTTTTGCAGATCTTGTAGTGGAGCTTGTAAGCTTTTCTGAGGCTGAGCCAGTCTTTTAAGGTGAAATTAAAAAAAAAAAAAAAAAAAAATAATAATAATAATAATTCTGTAGCATTCTCTCCTTCAACTGTCATTGTGCCAAACTAATTGATGAAATATTTTTCTATGCATTCTCTACTGTCAACACATTTTTTACTCCAAAAAAAATCACAGGAACACAACTACAGTACCCTGACTCATAATGTTTCATCAGATTCTCTTAACCCTGCTATTCATTTGCAATTAAATCGATAAAACAAGATTATAAGCACATACAGCTCCTCCCCGACTTACGACGGGGTTAGGGACCCAAATCCAGGTCATATGTTGAAATGGTCGTAAGTCGAAAATGCTTAATACATAGAAAATCTAAAATGGGTGTCTCTCTTTCTTCTCAGCACCACAAAACTCTCACTTTTAAGCTTGCCAGCTATTTTAAAGTGAATTACAAACGAAAATTTTGTCAGTACACAGCGCAATCACTGACGTTGGGACTCGAAAATACGTAATTTGACAAAATTTTGGTACGACTGAGATGGTTGTATTTCTGTGTAGTCGAAAGTCGGGGAGGAGCTGTATAGCAGCAAGAAAATGAAGAAATATAAAAAATAATTAAAATAAACATTTAGTCATTTTGACCAAGAACAGATGACAAAATCATGAGATGCCTATTTCCAGGAAAGTCCTTATGCCAGCACCATCTGGTGTTCTTAGGGCAAGGTGATCACCCATCCCAGTATGTACAGGTACAGTAGAATTACAGTTATCTGGCACCTATTGGAATTGAGAGGTGCTGGAGAAAGAAATTTTCCAGTTAGTTGAATCTCACTCTTAGAATCACCCAATAAACCCTATATAGTGCTACACGATGACCAGAAAAATGGACTTCTTTAACACTAATTTCATTCTATATAAATGATGTGGCTTAAGAACATGGGTGTGCATGTGTGTGGAGGCAGTGGGCTATAACTACATCGCCACGCTTCCTCTTGATGTGACATCACAGCAAAAACACAGCCAGAGCGACAGCCACACGTCTGTGAGGCAGCTGGGAGACTGCCTGGCTGAACTGTGGCTTATTGCATAGAGGATAGTTTGAGTGTGGAAGGAGCTACTCTTTGTTCATAAAAAATGTGCTTTTGTATTTTATGAAAAGCTATGTATTAATTTTATTGTTTATCATAGCAATAAATATGGCAGCTCATCTCGTTGCTCGCAGTATTCAAACACGATTCTAGCTGATTTTGTAGGAATTTTTATTTTTATTTCATTTCGGTGCCGGTTAGTTGAATCTGTTGATTGCATGAATTTTGGATAACCGGGATTCTACTGTACTAACCAGACCCAACTTTGCTTAACTTCGCTAATCGGACAAGAAGCAGTGTTTCCAACGTGGTACTACTACTACTACTACTAATTCAACATATAACATCAACCAAGGACATACTCAAATAAGCTCCAGATCTAGGCTCTTCAGGTATCAGGATGGGTATCCAATCTGCAGCATTATTGACATCTGAATCACCGAAGGTTGCAATACGCAGTTCATTAGTGTTACTTCTAATGTGCCCAAGAAGAAGTTTAAGGAACTGATGCTGCAACAGTTGACAGTCACTGAAGTCTTCTTGCTTCAACTGAATAATGCAACCTGTTCTCATCTCTTCCCCAAAGGTAACCTGAGAACGTGAATCACATCTTCCTTCTCTTCCAGGGGCAAGCATAGTTAACCACTGTCTAGGGTCAGTGTCAAGGTAGATGGCTTCTTTCAAGTCACCTGTTAAGGAAATTCAATGGAATTGATACTGAAAAATAAAATTTTTAATGGAAAAGTACCATTAAGAGAGTAATTAATAATAATTTAAATTTTATGACAGGCATCAATTAATCTACTAATTGTGTGCACCAAGTTTGAGCTAAAGCTAAAATAAATAATTTGACCTAAAAACTTGAGATAAAGTGTGTTAATACAGTGACCCCTCCGTTAACGAACTTATCCGTTCCAGAAGGTCGTTCGTTAACCGAAACCATTGTTTCAATGGGTTTTTGGGTAATTGGTTCCAGCTCACCGAAAATTTCCTAAATTCAACAAAAATGGTAGAAAAGTTCACTTACTTTGAGGTGTGTATGTAGAAGGCTCCTGGATGATGATGATGATGGGATTTAGAATGGGGGTGGAGGAGAAGGAAAAAGAGAAGGCATTGGGGTGGAAGAGAAGTCACCCCATGGCGCCATTTCACCCATAAAATTTTAGCTCTTGGTGTAATTCAAGATTATTTTCTTTAAATCAACACTGCACTGCATTATATATTGTTAATATGTAAAATATATTTCAAAATGACCAATAATTTGCTTGGAAACAGAAAAAAAGCGTTTAGTTGAAGAGAGTCTCAAGCAAGATGTTACCTCCAGTGAAAACAGAGAGAGACTAACGCCTGTTTGCTGTGTTAAGAGGCTGGATGCCGTGCATTAAACTAGTCACTTTACCTTCAGTTATGTTCAATAATTATAATTGTTAAAATGACTACAAAATTGAATATTAAACTTTTAAAATTATTGAATAGTATAAACTTCTTGATATTTACTAAAATAGTAAGGAATTTAAGCCCTAGAACCGATTAATGTATTGGCAGACTGATACTAAAGCTGGTTGCCCGGTCAGTGCAAGCGAAAACATGTTGAGGTCGGTTCGTAAGAACTTCGTTAACCGAATTTTTTTTCGTTAACCGAATTGAAGATCCTTATGGAAGGCAGTTGGTTAATCGAAATTACGTTAACCGAGGTGTTCGTTAAACGAGGGGTCACTGTATAACCGTATTGCCTCAATGCTACAAATTTCCCCAAGAATTTAATTTGTCAATAAAATTAAAATTTTCACTCTTCTACCCTCGTAAAAAAAAAATATCTATTATGCATGATGTTCTCATTTCTGTGAAAGACTTAAGCATTTCATTCGGTGATTATACCTATCCCTTATGCAGTCTACCTCTCCCCTTCTTTCCAATGGCATCAATGTAACTCAACTGCATTCACCTATCATTTGTCACATGTTCTATACGTGCACAACATCTCAATGTGCAGGTAGATCCTAATTTACAAATACTGTACAGTATACACATTTTATGAATTTTCAAAGGTATAAATTTTCTGTATCCTTGCTTTATTATATGAATAAAAACTGAAAGTTACAAATATATTTTCATTATTTTTGCATCACTGGAAGATACTAAGGTCCTGACACAAGATCTGGCAGCAGCACATACTGAACCTGGCCAGTATAATCTATAACTATTATTTTTACAGCTATGTACTTTCCTGAAGAGCTTATGGTATATATATTCTGATAAACTATGTACAAATATCCCTCGCTACAGAAATGGGTTAGGTTCCTGAAAAAATATTCGGTAAGTGAATTATTGTACTACATCGTGAAGAAAAGAAAATATGGGAAAAATATGGTTCGGTTCCCCAATGACAAGAAAACCCCAATATCAAGCCCCAAAAAATATATCGGTTCATTAACAAAAAAAATACCTAACCAATGATAAATAGTACACAACTACTGTACAGTATACTTTGTACTGTAATTTACTACCTAACACATTAAAAATATTAACAAAATACTTCTGTAAGACGTAATACTTTTCCAGGTTTAAATTTAAATCTAATACTGAATGGTGACCTCAAAAGATCCTCTTATTCAGAATTAATCATCAAAACAGAAAAATTATAACAATTAAATCATAAAAGTTTTTTTTTTAATTTGGGAAGTTTAAAAAAATCAAATCTGAATTGCATGAACTGCTGGGAAGGATGATTATATAAGAAATCCCCCAACCCAATTGCAGGGGGGGAATGCATCCCCATGATCTACCACTACCCCCTCATTCCTTTATGGAAGTTCACAGTTATTCCATCCATCATCTCATTTACTCACGTTTAGGCTTGCTGGTCACACATACTGATACAGGTACTTTTTTTCCATACATCATTTATACTTCATTCCTAAACCACAGCTCCTAAAATTAGTTCACATTTCCAAACTGAATCAGTGATTGTACACTTCTCATCACGGAACCTTACTGGATAATACAAGGATATCAATGTCATATTTCTGTTCACTCTCTCTACTTATGGTCACTACTTATAAGAGTACCTTTCCATTTTCTGATATAGTGAATTGTAAAAAAAATATAGTACTTGTTTTAGAGTTTGCAAGTGTTACCCTGCACTACATGTGGGAAAATACATGCACAGTAATGATGATGTTCAAGGCAGTAAATTTCACTCCAATTAATTACTGTATTCCTTTTGACTAAATTCATTCATTCATTTTTTATCCATACACTGTAAGGGTATCTTCAGCCTTATTCTATTCATAGCTATCAGTAAATAAGGTGAAACAAGTGCACTAAGCCTCAAAAAACTACAAAATGAGAGCTGTCTGTTGTTTTTTTAATCTATTTACTCTTTAGACTTATTATTAAAAAAAGATTGAAACTTACCTTCCTCTGTGACATTAGTAACCAGCTTTCCTAATAGAATTGGCTTTCCAATAATATAGCCTGGGTGACCACTTCTCTTAAATATAACATCATGCTCTGATGATGCCCAAATATATTCAACACCAAAGTTATTAGTAAAATGTGTCATAACATCAGTCACATTTGTGAAGTATACTTTGGCTTGTACATCAGTAATGCCCTCTGTACCATTATGTATTAATGTATAATGAATACTTTGGGCTACATTTTGACATACACCATAAGTATATACAGGCTGAGGTATATAATTTATATTTGTTTCTGTACATTTCTCTTCGTTATTTTCTATACGACATAAAAATACTTTGACTGGTAACAACTGATCTTCAAACAGATTTCCAAAATCTGGGGGTACTGGTATCTTAACATTTAATTCATCAAAATTTCTTAGTCGATTCCCATTTTGTTCGTTAGTTTTTATCAATTTTGCTGAGGTTTGCTCTTTGGCAGTATAGTTCATAGTCTCATCCAAATTAGGAAGCTCTGTTGTATTTTTCTCAAGTGTATCAGTTAAGGCTGTAGAAGTAGGTGGTACGGAAGATGTAGTTTCTATGGGTTCTGATGGACTAACTGTGCTTGAGTTCTGTAAACATAACAAACAATTTAGAAAGGATGCCTGTTACACAGAAGTCCAATAATATTTTAAAACAATGTACAATGTACTGTAATTTCAAAAACTATATACAGTACTACTGCACTGGAGGCTATCTGTAAGCCGGAAGTGACTCTTCCATAGGTCGTCATTGAACACGCACAGTACACATAATGTATATACAGTACTGTACAATTAATATACAGGCATGCTTGGGACCTGAGGGTAACTAAATAGGGTTTTCTCTGGAATTTAGAGAACCAAGCCTAAAATGAACAAAATGTGCAGTAAACCCTTTGTAACTGCCTGTGAAGATTCTGTTCAGATCACTGGATACATGTAGTTTTAAATGTAAATTGTACCATGAAAACTTAAAATTGTAGGCATACTGTATAAACATCAAGAAGAAAAGCAAATATACAACAAAATGATACAAGTTACTGTACAAACTGCATCACAGTCACCCTGGTACTCGCCTTAGCCACTCACCATTGTCCCTAGCAATGGTACTGCACCATGGACCTCCACACACAGCTTCATGGTGGAAGCCCGTATATACTGTATTTAAACTTCATACCTTATGATTATTATTTATTTTGTTTATTTTTGCATTTTCTGTATGTAGTGTGGTGTATGTAGAAATTAAAAAAAAATACTTTATGATAGTAATTACAGCTATTTTTTTGGGGGGGGGGCACTTTCTGTATGTATGATTGAGCATTTATGTAACTAGACAAAAAAAAAAAAAAATCATATACCTGTACAGTATCTACTCAAAATCATGAGTTAAAAGATGACCATAACACAGAGTTAAGAGGTGGGATATAATTGGAAATATCCCTTCTCAGCCCGGGAATTACTTGGCACTCATTTTTAATAGGACTTACGGGAGAGTATCCGTAAAGTCGGAAATCCATAACCCGAGTTGTCTGTAACTTGGGAAGTGTCTGTAATAGGTCTCATAGAAAAGATTGCTATAGTATAAGCCACTCGCACAAATGTAGGGGTTCCTGGTAATGCCGAGGTCAAATCTGTAAACTTTTAAATGCAGTACAAGAGAATCCCTTCCTCTGAGTATCATGAGTTCTAACAAAGATTTTATTTCATAAATACAAATACATTACATTTTTTCTGTAGCAACATACCTTATTGAAAGTACTAGGATCTGCCACTACAAAAAAAGATAAAAAGTTAATGGCATTGAAGATCATATTAGTTTCACACTCTTCACTGACATAATGGAAGACTCGGTTACACGAAGATCGGGTGTCCTCGAGGAAGTGCAAGGATTCCATGGTTTCACATTCATTCCCAATAACAGAGTCTGGAATCCCTGGAAAAAATGTTCTAATTACAAAAAAAAGCTGTTAATAACCTCATCCAATTTTTCCCAATTCTTACATCTATTTCATCATCTTGATATATTTCAGAGATTTCAAGCCAGAAGGTGCATGCTAAAGCTATTTCACATGATACAATTAATGCACATCTTCACACAGTTATTTCTGCCTATATCTCATCCTCTTTACAATGAACAATTTCTTACATACACACACAGACATAAAACTGATTGAAACACCTTTTTAATGCCAATTAATCAGAGGTGAAAATTACATCACCAAAATAGTAAGGCAGAGTGAAGAGAGAGGCCACCTGTTCAGTGGAAGGTATAGCTAGGATCTGTATAAGGATTATGGAGTACCCTAAGGAAGTATAGTGCAGGTGAACTGCTATACAGTAATACTAAGAAAAAATATTTTTGATAACTTTCATCCATCAAAGAAAACGATGGCAGACAAGAAGAATAGTTTAAAGAAAATAACCATGGATAGTGTGTGTACATTGTGTGAGCTTTGCATGAATATTTAGTGCATGTTTTTCATTGTCATGGTTACATCACTTACCAATATTAAAGAGATATCCTTCCTCATTAACTGCCCAAATAAGTGAACCAGCAGTGTATGGAGCCACTTCAAACTCTACAACCTGGTTAGTGCTCTCCCAGGGAAAATGCCTCTCATTCCTCTTTAGTTGCTTGTATTCCTCTATAGTTGTTGCTCCCTATGTTAATTATAGTAATTACTATTACTAACCATAATTCATATTGGAAACAATATTAGTACACATATTACTGAAACTTCTTTCATCTTATTTCAAAATATGTAAGATGAACATAGGAACATCTATTAAATTACTTGTATATGGATATTAAATTCAAAACTGCAAATTTCAAATCCATTTGTACCAAGTTATATTTACAAAAAGAAAAAAAAATTACTGCTTAACCCTCAAACCCCGGGTTAGGGTGCTGCTGGCAGTACCCCCCTCCCCTCCCCCTTGCGGGGATAAATCGAGAAAAAATCAACTTTTCTAAAAATAATAATAAAAAAAAAACAATTGGCAGGAATAGGCAGACGTTCTGGAACGTCACCCAAAGCGCGCTGGTCAGACATTCTGGAACGTCACCCGGGGCCTAAGGGTTAAAACAACACCCCTACGAAAGAGCATCATTCCCTTCATAACTGGGTCAACTTTTTATCATTGAAAAGTAAAAGTGGGTCTCGTTGACATGACAGTCCTTAGACAAAGCACACTGTATACTAAACACTGGAGAGACCTAAATGTGGCACCAAACCTTCATATAATAATGGATATCATGGCAGTGATGTAGGCAAGACCATGACTGAGACCAAACAAGAGCATTTGTAATTTTAGCTTATATGGATCACTTGAAGATCAGCCCCCCAAATAGTGTCTTGAGTAGTTAAACATCAGGCTAGTTAAGCTGAGGGGAGGGGTGAGACTTCGGGAGACAAATAAAGACAAAAACTTTATAATGATCTCATTCATGGTCTCGACTACATCATTGGTATATGGCGTGTTACAAATTTCATGACTCTGAAGATGAATAAAACACCAAAAACAGTATGCCTCCATTTAGTGTAGAGGAGATATAATCAATAGCAACATCCACCAACCTTAACAGTAGTATAAGTTGTGCGTTGTGGCATATTATCAGTCACTATACACAAGACTCCATTTTGCATATACTCTACTTTGTACTCAGTATGATTGCTGAAGATAATTTGTTTCTGGAAGCAGTAGCGACTATCTGTGAAACCAAAATCAAGGAGTGGGTGTTTCATTACAATGCTCATTGTTCTGGAGGAAATCTTTACTAAAAGTAATTATTCATTTCTATAATACGTAGGGTTGCCAGGGGTCCCTTATAAACAGGATTGTCCCTTATTTCATTGCCTTGTCCCATTGTCCCAGAAAGATGTGTTGGGACATATAATTGTCCCAATTTAAGTGACCTTGATACTATGACTTGGGTGGGGGGGGGGGAATAAAAAATAATAATAAAACTGCCTCTGTTTATGAGTTCCATATCTCATACAAACATAACTAGTGGTGTATAAAAATGAAAAATTACTGTTTTCCTCTATATAATTTTCATTCACAGTTCTTATCCCACTTCACAAAACAATGTGATACAGTATTGTATTTATCTGTGTGGTGAACTTTGTGTGTTATAAAGTTTGCAACATAGGAGATACTGGCCATAAACCAAAGACAGAAATGTATGATAACAGTGGACTGATCCATACACTAGGACTACTGGCTAATAATGGCTACTTTTGCACTGTGCTTGATGCTTTAAATAAATAATTTTGCTAAAAAGGGGTAATGAGATTGATTTTGTTTACATAGCATACTGTATATATTTACTGTAAGCAATAGTGTACTTTCATGGAAAAGTATGTGGCACAGGTTTTTTTTTTAAACACAGCAGAGCGTTTGTACTTTATTTGAGAACCAGTGTGTTTCCCACCTAAGACCAGTGCTGGGCTGTCATCATTAAGGGTGTGGAAGCCGGTAATACAGCCAACCCTTAAACCAATGTTTCCAGATTGGAGCCTATTCCCTTTAATGACTGACCCACCTTTAAGAAAATAAATACAGCTAGACCCCGACTTACGACCGCTGCAGTTGTGACCATTTTTTTTTTTTTGTTCCCAAATGACACACGCATTTTCTATACCGAAACGTTTCCAGTTAATGTAGTCTCCATGTATAATTAGAAAATTATGGGGGCCCCATGTGCATTCAGCTGACTACATTAAAGGTACTGGGGTAAGTGCTCAGTCACACTGTATCCATTCCTCATTGTAGATTTTTTATTTAATTTTTTTTTTTTTTTATGTCGGACTTACGACCATTCGGACTTACGACCTGGATTTGGGTCCCTAACCCCGTCGTAAGTCGGGGTCTAGCTGTATATAAAATATAGAATTTTATATCTCAAACCTGTTTTGAGTCATGCAAGGATTTAATATTACATAAATAGATCATTTTTGCCTTTTTTTCCTTTTGCATTTCTTTCAATACTCTTAAATAACCTTAAATCTATGTTAGGCAGGATTTAATCTAAAATCCAGTCTCATTAGAGTAACAGCACTAACATCTAAAATATTGTGGCTTAAAATAACACTGACCCAGAACATCCTGAGGGCGCATTTGACAATGAGAAAACACTCTTCTATCATCAGCACTGCAGTCTTCATCACAGCAACAGTTGATATCACAAAATCCAACCTATGGAAGCATTCAATAATATCCTAGTTATAACAAGTTGCATGAAGATACCACAATATTTTAAATAACACCATGAATTTAAAAAAACGTATATATTAATGTTGTTAATATGGCAAGTATTTTATTAGAAAAGAACACATTATTCTACATTCATAACAATCTACTCACCTTCAGGTTACACAGGCAAAAATCACCAACAATAAGTTCACTGTCATACACTGGACTGGGAGAGGTAGGAACCTCAGTTGTATGTAAGGTTGTAGTCTCAACCTCAATTAAGGTGTTATTATCACTTAACTCATAGTCAATATCCGTTTCATTTTGTGTACTATTGCTAGGTATTATCAGTGTCTCATTACTTTCAGTGTTCAATGTTTCTTCACTGAGATCATCATTCAAATTCACTTGAACTTCAGATTTGGGTAAAACCAAGTCTGGTGCTTGAGTCGTGGCTTCTCTATCCAGGTTTTTGTCATTGTGATTTTCCCCACTGAATGGCTTCACATGTAAGAGCGTGAATGTCAACCCCAAATACAGATACTTGAGTAACATATTTTCTGGTGTACTAGACAAGAATTACAAGTACTTTTTATGTATACTGTACAGTATAAAAATTTATGTATTTCACCATATACAATACTGTACTTCCCAACAATAGTACCATATACATTTAACATATCACTCCATATTTTTCAAAGTTTCTCAGGATTATCCCTAACTCAAAATGCACCTGAAAAAAAAATAGTAGTTTACTTGAAGATACATAAAACACATGGTATTTATGTCTCTATGAAACTGAGACATTTCCAATGTTCTGGTCACTAAAGAAAGGCTATAAAATGTCAAATACTTGTTAAATTATACACCTGGGAAAATACTCCTACCAAATATCATCAAAATTAAAGTTAAAACAGAATACTTGATCTTGCATCCAGGAAAAGATCCTTTGCAAAGTTACAATTCTAAAGGTCAAGATATATATGAAATTACCAAGGAATTTTGATTAAATTACTGCATTATATCTCTATTCTGACATTGTTACCTTTTGGGTATACAGTATTACACATTTATCCTAAGTGATATGAAGATACTGGAATGTGATAATCAGGTTGTTTATGGCTGGGTTTCAGATATGAAGTACTGTATAAACAACAACTGTAAATGATGGCATAAATGGTAAGCAAAGAAAGGTTTATGTATATACTGTGAATAGTTTCACATCAGTACTACCCTAGCCATGTGTTGGAATTAATTCTTTGCTGAAATTGGAGCCAAATGCAAAAATATGATAATCGGCAGCAACAAAGGTTCATGAAATGGTAGCTACTTTATTTGCAAATAGGATCTACAGCATGTGATATGTCTAACTAGGATACAGCTCCTAGGGTAATCATGTATGCAAAATAGCTTGGTTACAATGCAGTAGAGTAGTTCATTCTCATTCTATACTTGTGGGAGCTTAATCATGATGACCTTAATATTCAGAAAATATTTAAGTCTCTTAAAAGTCTAATTTTGGCAGCAGAACCAGAGGATACAGCAGAGGGAAATTTTTTTTTTAAACAAAGAAGCCTAGTTTTTCAACATATCGACAGACAGACACAGACAACTATCAAACAGGGAGGTACTATTGCTTGGGAAGATATTAGAAGCATTATGTGTTGTCTAATGGTAGACTTTGCTGCTAATGGCACCACAAAAATTGTCACAAGTTCCAGGTTGCTGATCTGACGGACTTTCTGCCTCATTTATATACAATACAGAACTGTCATTCTATTTTCATGTGCCCTTCCCAACTGTGTCAGAAGGAAAGCCAGTTATTATATTCTAAGTTCAGCACACACCACTTTTAATGTAATTACTAATAGGCTATCAATTTATTCTGAAAATGATATCTTATGCATAAAGAAAAAGTTTCAAGTTCTTTACCAGCCAAAGAGGAACTAATGTACAGGAGCACGAGAGCTGTGAAAAAGGAAAAACACTTTTTCTTCCATGTATAAGTCTATTCATCATTCAGTATCATTGATGTTTCATTTCCTCAGTACAGTACTGTACAGATAAAAATATAAATACTGTACAGTACTTTGAAATCTAAGAATAAACTCCACAGTACTCACAGAACCAGATGCCACTGTAAGCAACCTGTACCGTTCTCGGGCAGAATGCATAAATTCTGTGGACAGCAACTGTGGACCACCTCCTAAAAATGTTCTTCTCAATTCCTCAGCAAAAGTTCCTGTTAAAAATTATCAAATAGTCAAACCCTGAATGTCATAAATCAACCTGTATGTCATATTAAGCATACAATGCCAAAATGAATATGATTTGGTAACTGCACCAGCTATAACTGAATAATATCTTATTTCAAAACTGCAGCCTGAAAAAGATATCTTACGTTACTAAAGTGAAATTTTCTATTGACAATGGTATAAGCTCATGTAACTGGTTGGGTCAGGTCTGGGGTCAAATCCTCCAAGTCTAGGTAAAAAATGGGAATGATGGGTAACACTTCCAACTTTCACTATCCTTTAAGTATTCTGGACAACAGTGCTTCTAATAGGATTCATCATATCACCATCAACAACTACATAATAATAGTCAAGCTTACAAAATAAGAAACATTGGTGAGCTTTATATTGATGAGAAACAGCTTAAAATTTATCAATCTTGTAACAATATGATTTCAAAGTACTGTACCAGAAACTTTGACGATATAACATAAAAGTATCTTAATTACACTGTTATATGCCATCTCCAATTCAGTTTCACAATCCATACTACTGTATTATGATTTTCACATTATGAATAATGTTACCAGGTATTAAAATTTGAAATATAATTAATTACCAACTGGTCTCCATGTATGGCAGGTCATTTTATGATGACCTGGCTTTGTGGGCACATGGATGATACCATATCCACAGAGATCAATGCGCCCCACATCATCTTGTCTGTATACTTGTATCAAGAATTTTGGCCATTCTGAAAGAAATTAATACCATAGACTAGCCTGGACAGGCACAGTCAATCTATCATTAGACTGAAAAATTATGCATACAGTATTTTATTAAAAATAAATAAAAAATAAATAAAAAATTACAAATAAAAAATCATAATTTCACATAAAAAATCATAATGAAAAACATTTAAATGGCATTAGCTGACAAAAGATATGTGGGTGCTGAGTGGATGCAATCCTCACCTCCCATCCTAAGAGTCACTGGTTCTTGCTTGGTACACTACTAGTTCACCCAGCTGTCAATGGAGACCTAACTTTAAAGATGGGAAAGGTGAAGGCAGTCAAGTACAGTGCCAGGCACACTGCTTCTTTGTGTACTGAAAAGTGCACTGTCTCTAATAAGCTGTTAGTCCTACGGGATCCACTTTCACTTAAAATTAGGTAAAACACGAGAAGAAAGATGCTTCCATGTTTACTTGTGGAAAAGGAATAGAGGCAGACACAATCAACATATGTGATTAAAACATATAGGATTCCACTATTTTGCATACATACAGTATACTGTACTGTACAATATAGCTATTATAATAACCAAATTTGGATTATGACCCTCTATAAGTGTGCATATGGACAACACACCAGTCTGAATGTTTTTGGATATTCACAAAAGCCAGGAGATCTTGGCATGTGACACTTTTGTGACAAGCTGCTCCATATTATGAGTATTCATAGCAGAAGTCCTATGCATGAGATTTGCTGCTTTATAGTTTGTTTTAATCCTATGTAATGTATACATGCGTGTTAAGGCAGGATCTTAGAAAGAGTTAAGTGTTTCAAAGGCTAGGCTTGTGTCTCCCTAGTTTATATAATATATCTTAAAGTTCATAAAAAATAAAATTGTCAACTGTGAGCGATCATCTATTGAAATGTAAAATGCATACCTTGGATGCCACGAGTGGCTAAATGAATGTCCACAGGATGACACCAGCACACAGTATCATCTACTTCTGACTGATCTGCTTGTGTCTGGCCTTCCACAAGTCCCTCCACCACTTTCCAACCTCCACCTGGAAATTTCAGACCAAGTAAAAACAGTACTGTATCTAAATAGTCCAGCAAGATAGCTATTAAAGTGCATAATCAACACAAACACTTGCCTCCCACAATATAAAACATTAAAATACTGAAGAAAATATTCAAAATGTTGTAAAATACTAAATTTAAAGTGTTCAACATCAAACAGAAAGGTATTCAAGTTTAAAGTATTGCACTATACAGTACTGTGTAGGAAGTATGTTAAATAAAACATACAGTATTGTACTTCCTAATACTGTTAAACAATGAACAAACTGTCTTTCCATGCCTGGCATCTCATCATTCTATATAAATTTTTTTGTCTAAATTAGAGATTGGCACTTTAATAATTTTCTACTGTGGATCTACAGTATACTGTACAACATAACTGCTGTGACTTACAGTATACAGGTACTCCTCGACTTATGACATACCCCTGTACTCGACTTACGACAACCCGGACATACGACCACCGTGGTCGTATAAAATATTTTTCAAATTACGTATTTTCTAGTACCGACGTTAGTGATTGCGCTGTGTACTGACAATTTTTTATTTTTTTTGTAATTCCCTTTAAAATGGCTGGCAAGCGTAAAAGTGAGAGTTCTCGTGGTGCTGAGAAGAAAATGAGACACCCATTTTAGAATTTCTCTGTATTATTTTCGCCTTTTCGACTTACGACCTGGGCGTCGGGACAGAACCACGTCGTAAGTCGAGGAGAGACTGTACTACCCTGTATATTCAATGAAAAGTTACCTTGGTATGTGTATTCATAATGCAGTTCAATATACCCATATAACTAGGTATGATAAAAATATATCCCTGTAGTACTGTACTGTACGATGAAATTTATAATTTTGTGGGATACAGTACTTGGGTCGTATTACTATTAAAAGTCTTTCCTTATGCAATTAATTAAAAATAGCTCATAAAGTAATGATGAGAGAAAATACTGCATTTATTATAAAACTTTTTCATGTGCACAGTCACTGGGGAAAGGCAGACACATCTGCCATTAATCTTATATATTATTAGGCACTTTCCCTGGAGGATGGCAAAGTAGAAAAAAATATTCATCTGCTAAAGAGTCAGAGAATGCTTTACCAAACTGAAGGATCCACTTGCAAAAGAGGGAAGCCTTTGGGAATCCACTTGCTCCAGTAACTTGGCCTATTATATGTACTTCAGCCATATAGCCTTCTGTGGAAAAATTATAGATACAGTTTAATGAATTACTGTACCATACATCATGACTAGTATTATATATAACATTCCTTTTAGGTCTCATGAAGATTAAGGACCCCCACTTATTCTTCCTGGTGATGAAATATCCTAGCCTAGATTATGTTAGCTTTAGGGTGTTTAATCACAGATGAATTAAATGGGAGTTTCTAATCTTTATAAGATCCCTTCTTTTATTAGGCACAGTGCTTTGTGAAATACATTAGTGTTATACAGTACAGTATAACTGGAACTCTTTCTTAAACCAAGATATCCCCCAAAATGTGAAGGATTTGCAGTTTTCATAATTCTGTAGTACTTTGGCAATTTTTCATCCTGAACAGTAACCTACGTATGTCAACTTGCTACCTCCCAACATTACTATACAGTAATACAGTACCTATCTGCATTTCATGATTTATCATAGATAATATGAACCAATCAAACCTACCTCTCCTAGGATGGAAATATATAATTTTAAGTGAGGTTTGGTTTGATTAGGTAAGGTATGGAAAGGTTGCCTGGAAGTATTTGGTTGCTTGGCGTTCAGTTGATCGCTGGGAAGCGGTTTGTCAATGGGTGAAGCACCAACATGGCATCCTTGGGTGGATAAATATACAGTATTAATTTACAAGAACCAAGGAAAAACAAAATTATAAAATCTGCAAATCCTCCACATGTATTGGGATATTTGTGAGATAAGAAAGAGGTTATCTTCTATAAAAAAAATTCTGAAATATAGAACAATTGCTGGGAAGTGTTCCTATGGATGAAATGAAATGCTTGTCATTTAAACCATGAATAGTGTGTCAAAGTACATTAGTATGTAGGACAAAAAATCACAGACGTAACATTACAAAAATGGCAAATCCTCATTATTTTAAGGGATTTTTCTAAGGCAAGAAAGCAAGCACCTTCTATAGAAAAATTTCCTTGTTAATGAGTGATACTGTTCCAAAGTATTACCTAAAATTTCACTTTGAATTGATCTACTTCGACTCTATAAGAATCTTGATGATTACAACCACTTCTCTACTATGATGTAGGGTTAAATTCTAAAGTATTTTTAGTCATCCTAATTACCAGAAAAGGAATAACAAATCCTCTTCAATTGAATTCTTCCCTATGTGGGCTGGTATTGTGATGCCGTATATAATTTCTCTTATACTGGATCAATTAATAAGCCAAGGCTACCACAGGATGCACCATGAAAGACTAAAAATTAAACTGGAAGGGTATGGGATTCAGGGAAATATCCATGTGTGGATTGGAGATTTTCTTCATGGCTGCAAGGAGTGTGTGGTGATTATTAGCACGAAATCGTCATGTGTACCTGCGACAAGCGGGGTACCACAGGTCTGTTGTTGTTCGTTTGCTTCATAAATGACATGCTGGAAGCTATACACTCCTCCATACAATTATTTAAATATTTATGGAAGGTGCTAAGCTATTCAGGGTAATTAAGAACGAAACAGACTGTTAAGAACTACAGAAAGATATCTGTCAGCTTCAAGAGTGGTCAAAGGATTGGCAAGAAAAACTTAATATCACAATGTGTAAGAGGATGCACCTAGGTCATACCGACAGTGAGGAGGCGTATCACATGTCTCAATACGACGAATAAGCAGCAGTAACTGAGACCAAATGTTAAAGGGACCTGGGTGTGTAAGCTGACAACGAACTGATGTTCTCAGGCCATTGTGATTAGGTGAATGAAGCAACTACAACACGCACTGACTCAACAGATTTGTCAGTGGAGTATTTACAAAAAAAATAATAATAATTTCTTCACTTTCAAACCATGTACAAACATCATTTTAGTGTCAGATGATCAGTTTTTCCACCATGTTTTACCCCGCAGTATCTCTCATCATTCATGTCCTGCCTACTACAGGTGATTCATGATCGTAGAGAAAACTAAAAAATACATAATTATAATAAAAATACTACAATGATAAGAACATGTGGAAAAAATGAACGAAATCGAATAACTCCCAAAAGTAGTAATGCCCATACAATTAAAGCCCCTTAGAAAATTCTTATCCTTACAGCCCTCAGTTTAGCTCAGACTCTTCCAACTGTATTTTTCATCATAGCAGCATTGGTGGCATTAAAATTGTGTATAAAATTTATTTCTATACAAATTTTACCGGCTTATGCAGACATTTAAAACGATGCAACAAAATTAAGAAGGAATTACACGACCTAAGATGAGCCTCAGGACACTAATGTTTACAAACAATGGATGGACCCAGGTTGGTACACTACAAACATATATTAATCACTTATAACTTATTCTTTCTTAAGTAAAAATTGAAAATTATCCTATAAATATTATTTTAATAAAAAATTACCGAATTAATATGAGTCTTCTTCTTATTAAAAAAAATACATTGGGATGTCAATCTTCCAATCAAGTGATCGATTTCCCGCCATTTGAAGTCTATTATGACACTAGACAATACATATAATAATAAAATAAAAAACAGATTAACCACCTGGCTGTCTAGAAAGCCGATAAGTGGTGAATTAACATAAAAATAAATATATTCGAAGTTTATTGTAAAATGCTACCCGAGGGCACAACACAGCACTGTTGTGTATTAGACTTAAAAAAAAACCTTTGTAACAAGTCTAAAAAATACCTACAACTCACATATGGCAAAGACTCCGCCAAAGAGGATAAATTAAATATTATTTTGTTGTGCATTTGTTTAAAGTATTGGCGCGTTGTTTATTGAGTAATCCATATGGGACCATTGATGAACGGAAGCTAGGGCGGTAAGTTTAAGATGGTGACTTTAGCTGAGACAAAACCAGCGGATGGAAGCTGATGAATTTGTTAGGATTTATATTGAGTGAAATCATTGGTTTTACTCTAATGGAAGCCTATTTTGCTGGAAGTGGTGTGCAGATGGTGGCAGTTTTTCTTATAAAATGAGGTTTTTAGTAGTGTAAATTATTGCATATAATACTTCAGACATGATAATATATGGAGTGTAATATACCGCCGATATGTGCTGTATATACTGTACTGTGCTGTATATATTTTGCGTATGTTTCCGGCGTCCATGAACAGATGAAATATATTCCTTAATGTGACTTATATGAGCAGAGAAAAACAATTATGTTATCGAAAATACATGCTTACGTTAATTCAATCATCCTTTATTGATATAATGAAGATATATTCCAATATAGTAAAGAAACATGTTTATACAAGTACTGTAAAGGAATTTCCTTATTGATTATTCCCTGCACAGGCGCAGTCGTCGTCAGGTGTTTGCCACATTCTGTCCGTATGAATGGGCGAAATTATTATTTTGTAGCTTAAAATCATTCAAGTCTCAATTAGATATACGCCATTCTGTTTTATATAATAACGGATGATAGTAATTACAAAAATTCGTCTGCTAATGACATTTGAAATAAGATAAAAAACTTTGTTAATACAGGAACGGTTGTTAATAAAAGAGCATCGTTTGTGTCTCCAACATATATACCGAGGATGAAAGTTCCTTATCTTGAACCATTCAGTATATTAGATGGTGTTTAAGGTACAGTTTTAACAGCTTATGGAAGTGAATGTAAATAATGCAACATTCTCTTGATTGATAAGTGCAAAATTGTCGATAAATGTAAATTGGAATGACTTGGAAAACTTGTCATAAGACTAATTGATGTAAGCAAATGTTAGATATTTTTTCACTAGTAAGTTACAATGAGTAGAGTACAGTAAGTGTAGCTGCTGGAGTATCTGGAGTAAGATTTCCTTAACCTTGTGTAGTGGAGGAAGCTGTAGTTTAATTGTCCTGCATGACAACAGTTGCTGCGAGAACTAGGAGACACTTGGGGTTCTAAGTCAGTGTCCATTTAGCTATCTTTTGTTCTTTCTTAGAGTAAGATACAAAAGTGAGTGGAGGGGAATAACCACAATCTTTACACTACTGAAGCAAGGATTGTGTCCACTTGTATATTACAGTGATGTATATACTGTATGCTGTAATGTCAGGCTGGTAACAGCTAATTTGGTGAAATTTTTGTTTAAACTTTAAGATTCTTGTTATAAATGTTGAAAACTTGTTCACTGGTACATTACCAAATCTTTAAGTGGAAAATTGATTTGCTTTTTGTGTCGTGGGAAATATGTTAGTAGATATTCCATACTGGCCATTCACAGAAACTACCTTAAAAAATGTGTTTTTATGTTTTTCACGCTCACACGAATATGACCTTCATTTCTGTCTTAAATGAGTAGTTTTGGGGATATGACCCCTCCCAATTACCAACGTTGAGGGGTAAAAACTCGTAAAAACGACTCTCAAATATCAGTACGTATACATGTCTAACTTAAGCCTCACTAGAGGAACCAGAAAGACCTGACCTCCAAGGTATAATTCAGACTCTGTATTGTAAAGATCCTCCTCCATATGTTAAATAAGGTAATTTGGGGTTGGGTAAAGTTAGGTCAGGTTTACACACTGGGGTCTGCCCTCCTGGATAGGAGGTTAGGTCAGGTCCTAGTTTCTCTGGTTAGGTTAAGTTAGACATGTATACTGATATTTGAGAGTAGTATTTGCGTGTGTTTACCCCACAATGATGGTAATTGGAAGGGGTCATATCTTCATAACCACTCATTTAAGACAGAAATGAAGCTCAAATTCGTATGAAACAATGAAAAACACCATGAAAACCTAGTTTCCATCATAATTTCCCTGAATGACAACTACAGAATTTTTACCTACCTGAAGATTAGCCCCCAGCTTACCTTACCTTCAGATTAACCCACCCTATTTCTAACCTAATTTATTCTAATCTGACCTAACCTAACCACTGGTGGAATTCGTGTGTTTAATTAAATGAAATAAGTTGGGGGCTAATTTTCAGGTGATCTATTTATTTTTTCTATAGTGACTTTGTATTCTAAGAATCGAGATAAATGTTTAAGTGAAAATTCTGGGAAAATATATCCCCAGATAAAGACAGGTTCTTTCTCTTGAGTTTTACCCAAATATGATATTAACTGAATTTACTTAATGTTCCTCAAGTGATTACAGTATCATGAAAATAATTTAGCAGTTTATTACAGTACTGTACTGTACTTCTGGACAACTTTTGGTAGATTTTATTTGCTTCTGTATTGATTGTGGCAACTGAGTAGATACAAGACTTGCCTCTTGTCTTAAGGGTTGCTGGTGTGTGCCCAGGATACCCCCAGTTCATTGAACTGTGGATGAGTACCTAGCTTTGCAGTTAGGGAAATGAAAGGTGCAGTGTCAGCTACAGCTACACTGCCTGCTTGTGTTTTGAAGGTTTAGTATATTGTGCATTATGCTGTAATGGTCCATCAGGCTTATGAGCCCAGTTTCATATGCCTCCAAACAGTAGCTATCTGTTCCAGCTAAAATTATGAACGGGTTACGTTCCTGGACCCTGTTTGTAAGGTAATCTGTTCGTTAGTCAGAACAGTGTTAATTTCATAGGTTAGGTAAAGTTAAAGCACAAACCTCCCCATACAAAACAACATTAATATCCCAAACTTAACAAATAATGTAAATAAAGTGACGTAAAGCAATATAAAATAATGAAATTAATGTCAAAATTGGATTTTAATTTATAAGTGCTAGTGTTAGTAAGTTGCCTGTTTGTAATTTGGGGACTGCTTCAGTGTATATATATATATATATATATATATATATATATATATATATATATATATATATATATATATATATATATATATATATATATATATATATATATATATATATATATATATATATATATATTAGTATTATCGTTTTTTACCTTTTTTTTATATTTTATTTTTTCTTCACCACTGATCGGCTCGTTAGCCGCTTGGGCAATCGGTCACGTCTCTGTTACGCACTGTTGGCAAGTACTGGGCATGCATTGGCTCCTGACTGTATCTGAACCTACTCCAAAGTGTGTGTGTGTGTGTGTGTGTGTAGTAGAGAGATTTTTCTGACTCGATGTATGCTTTGGTGGAATTGAAAATAAAAAGTTGAATTGCTAAATTATTTTGACTGTCTGGTTTTATGATCAACATTAAACCATTGCACTGTACATTGTATAAGAATTTAAAATGGATGAATATAACTATGAAGCATTCAGTGGATTAATAAATATGTGTACAGTATCTGGTTTTATAAGTGACATTTAATTTTTTGGGCACCTTATCAGAGTTTGATAAGAATGATAAACATCAACTGAAATACTGCACATTAATTCTGTATTTACAACCCAACTAACAAATCCAAACCTGTGAAATGTAGTGCAGTATCGGCCACACAGCCTTCATGAGTACTGAAGGCTAAGTACTGTATACAGTATGCTGTATTCACACTGTCCCTAATGGGTAGTCATGTCTATGGGACTCACTTTCACTTTGCTCTGTTAAATAACATATGTTCTTGCAGATGGATTGGCGAGCATCAGGCTGTAGCAGTGTGTGGGAGGTGTAACAGTATTATTGGAGGAGTATGTCTACTCCTGTAACACCAACTGCTGCCCGCAAGAGAGCATTTTCACAGGTAATTCTCAAGTTAATGTTTTAATTTCCTAAATGTGAATACAGGGTAAAACATATTTAAAATTAAATTAGATGTAAAATAACATATATGATGTAGATTTGACAGAACAATACTGTACAGTACTGTGCTGTAATAAATATCTATTCCTACACTCCTAAGCATAGTGGTTTACCTAAAAAAAAAAATTCTTTTTTACAAATACTGTACCAGAAATACAGTGATATCTCTGTTAGCCGGGTAACCAGACGACTCTCCCAAAGCTGGAATTAAATCCCTCATCCCCGGAATTTTCCGGGTAACAGAAAAATGTTCTTGTAATTTCTGGAAAATACGCCTGATTTTCATCTCTCATTCCCGGAAAAATACTCCCCCATCTCCGGAATTTTCTGGTTACTGGGAAAATTTTCTCAGAATTTTTCAGAAAATATGCCCCTCAGAATATTGTTCCCAAAGCCGTAATTTTCTGGAAAATTACGGCTTTGGGAACGATTTTCCGAGAAAATTTCAATAACGGCCATAGGAAAGTTCTGGGTTTGAGGGATTCCGGTTAACGGAGATATTACTATAAGTACATGTAATATTCCCTGGGTGGAGAAGCAACACCCACAATAAAGGACAATGTTTTAATTAAAAGCGAATCTTTCCTATCTGGCGCGAGTCAATCTGGCGCATCATATTTTAAAATTCGCCCCTAATGTTTCTCTGGTCACGCTACACTGTCCTAAGGGCAAAGCTGTACTGTACATGTACTCAAAATAAAGTACTAAATGATTACTAAAAATTTTTCTAGTGCAAACTATACCAAGATTATGTTCAAATTAATCACTATCTTATAAGAATTCCAGCAATGTAAAATATATTCTCCCCGGTCACTTCTGTGACGTTTCATAAACAAAAAACATAATCTCAAGCTAAAGGACATAAATAAACAAATAAATACTTCACTAGACCTTCGGGGCCAATTGTCAAACATGTCACTGTCACCTCCCCCCCCCCATCTTCCCTGCCAGGATTAGGTGGTTATAGGCTTACAGTTTTTATCTTATATAATATCACAGACTTAAGTTAGGAGGATATAATTTGCATTGCTGGAATCCTTGCAAGACAGCGAATAATTTGAATATAAGCGTCATATATTTTGCACAAGATAAAAAATTTTGCCCTTTGTAATACAGTAGAAGTCCAAAAATCCGGACTGCTTGGGGATTGGGTCAGTCCGGATTTTCGAATTTTCCGGATTTTCAGGCAGTACTTTTAAAATTCAAATTTAAGGAGGAATAAAGAAGAGATGAACAGGTACATTTTGATAGTTTATTCATAAGCAAATATAACATGCTTCATTTCTCAAAATGAGCAGTTTTAAAGAAAAAGCTGTGAATTCTAGAATTTTATTCTTTGCCTTTTTTATATCATAAATTGTAGACTTTCCAATGTCGTATGTTTCCATTAGAACAGTATTGCTCACACCACGTTCTAGTTTCTTAAATATTTCAAGTTTGTCACTCAATTTCAACGTGTTCTTCTTTCTCTTCACACAACGAAGTTTATCTACTTTAGGAGCCATTATTATGGGCTTGTACAGTACTCTGTAAATGGAAAGAGTAGGACTCAAAATTACATATGATGTCACAGTTTGATTGCTCGTTTTAAAGTGGCGACCGCGTGGTCGCTTGTTGTCACTGTGCAGCTGTGGCGCTCGCACATACATACAAAAGCCCGCTAAAAAAAAAAAAAGTTTTCGAAAAGTCCGGATTTCTGGCATCCGGATTTTTGGACTTTTACTGTAAAATTAATTAGCAAAAAAATTTGTATGTCTAATGCAAACTATAACATGTATATATTCAAATTAATCACTATCTTATAAGAATTCCAGCAATGTTAATTATATTCTTCCATGTCAGTTCAGTGACATTTTATAAGAGAAAAAACTTAAAGTCACTCTTAAGGAGAGATAAATAAATAAGCACTAGACCTTGGCATCAACTGTCAAACATATCACCTCACCTCCCCCCCCCATCTTCCCATCAGCTGATCGCTAGTAAACAGACCATTTCACGTCCCATAAATTTAGCTGTGTTGATTTATGAGTGTTTGTTTTAACATAATACTTCAAAAAACAATGTTTTGTTTATTCTAGGAAATGGGCTGAGGTGCATCTGGGTAGACTCAGTCTTTTTAGTATTTTGTGTTTCTCTCAAGTACCAAACTAAATTATTCCATTGAAACCACACTTCAATTTAGTGTGAATTCGGTTTAAAGCGACCTCTTTTGGAACGTATCTCATGTTATATCGACGTTCTACTGTATTAGTTTAATGTTACTGGTTAAATGGACAATATTTAAGTGAATAAGAGAAGAGCAGGAAATCAGCACTGATAGGAGAGTTACTGCTACTTACAGTAGATGTACAGTACAGTACTGTACTGTACTATACTGTATTTATATTCTCGACCATGTTTTTAACTGTCTTGAGTCTCCTAAGTGTATACTCACTTCACCCATTTTTTTCTGAATCTATCATCTTAATTCTAAAGTCAAGACAATGGCCTCCACATTGGATCTGTATCTTTCAACTTCAGGCATTAGTTCTATGGCTGTTGGGATGCATGGAATGATCGCTTTCTGTTTTTTCTTTTCCCAAATTTGTCTTCAATCCAGTCATAGTTCCTCTTAATTTGTTGTTATGGTATTTGGAGAAAAAAATCTTATATATGTAATAGGTTAATTGTGTTTATCTCAGGAGGTGTGATTAACTGATTGATGGTATCACTTGATGTTGCAACTGCAGGGCTATTCATGGGTGGGTGGGTGGGCGGGGGGCTCTGTGTGACGTCATGGGACGCAGCTGGAGTGGTGAGTCAGCCACTCCACACACTTTCATTTTCCACACAAACACCCATGCTCTTCATATTTATTAGTTTATAGTTTTAGATTATATAATCTTTATTTCTTACCCACATTAGAGTATTGTAATGATTTTTCCACAACTTTTATAGCATTACTGTTGACTTTTAGTAGTTGTGAAACTTATCCTAATTTTCCCCATAAGATTAAGTATTTACTGTATGTGGATTCCCATTATGGTGTGTTGTTGCAGAACACAACCATCGCATAAATTGAGGGTCATGTGTACTATATTTTAGAAATGTTTTGTGCTTGGACCATGTTTCTTGTTCTTACAGGGTCCCCCCAATGGTGAAAATAATGACAGTACTGGTGGGTGGCTGGGAGCCATTGGTGGAGTGGTGGGAGAGTGGTTACAGGGCTGGGGGCTTCTGGGGGTTTTACGAAAGAGGTCAGGAGCACCAGGTGGGGCCCGGTCCACCCCAGCTACCCCACCCACACACAGCCATCCCTCTACCCCTTCTCATGAGCACATTGAATTGAGGCAACTCAACTTGCAGGTGGGTTCTTTGGAAGAAATACTCTGTATGTTCTTTGCAGTTAATTGTAGGAGTAGCTCAGGCTATGTAAATACAGGGATAAGGAAACTAATTCAGGTGATGGAAGACTTGTTTTATCTAGTGTTTAAAGTTGTATTCATATTGCAACTGTGATATTTCATTTGTTCATCATGATTAGAAATTGTGTGAAAGCCAGTTGTACACATTTTTTGTACATGGTTAAGACTTGTTCATTGTAAAAATGTGTATGGTGTAATACTGGATCAGCATTTTTTGCACAATATTTGAATTACAGTATAATTATATTCTTGGCAATTTAATGAATTATTTACCCCAGTTTGGTCTGGTCTGCAGCACCTACTAAACTCAGACTGGGACTGATATATTGTATAATAAAAATGTTTGCAGGTATTTTATCAATGCACTTATATATCAGCATGTCAGAAATATGTTAGGATTTGTCATTTATATACAGTACTCCAGTCATTTGGTAACTGGAGAAGTGCAGAGGTGACAGGAAAGATTGGCCGGGTGCCAGCTGCTAGAAATATTTAGTGCATAGTTACCCGCTGTTTCTTGTATTAGTAGATGAACTTTTATGTCCAGTAGATAAAGCTAATTATTTCCTAGTAATCTCTCTGCACCTAGAAATTTAAATAATTTATTGATATGCCAAAACATTTAAGTCTTAATGTGCATGGTATTTGTGGATGCACTTTTTCATGTTGTTAGAGAGAGGTTATATAGTCTGGCACTTGTGTACATTCACTGCATATTCTGTCAATACTATCAGTCCCAGCAAGAAATTGTTGATGATATTGGCTCATGGTCTCACTTATAAGGCTGATTCTAAAAAAATTATATTCTTGAAGCAGACTTGTCATATATGGTATATATTTGTAGAAGTATTTTTTCACTCTGAACCTCCTCAAGAAAATTGCTATTGGGTAAGGTACAACCAGCTTCACGGGATGAGCCAGTCAGTATCATCATTTATGGTATGTGGTAACTTAGGTAATCTGTCCTTCATGCTTTGCTTACTAACCAAAGGATTGGGGTGTGACACAGAAACAAGAAACAAAATGTTTTTATTATCCGATGAATAATACTGATTTTTTGAAGTTACAGTATTTATCTCTAATGTTTGGTATCATATCTCAATCCATTTTTCATTTGAAATGTCTAAATATTGGGTTGACTCTCTAAAAAGGCCTATGTAGACTAGCAGGTTTCTAGCTTCTGGCTTTATTACCATCTGTTGTATATTTCTAGAATGTGTTAGAGCATTTTTCATATATTATTGAGATAATTTTGTTGCAAAAACTCTTCATAATATGATAAAATAAGTGAGTGAAGCAATGCCTTTTGCAGATGTAATGCCTGCACTCACAAATGTGGTAACCTAGATATGATCCTGTCACACAACACAGCTTTATAAAGTTTAGTGTGAGCAGAAGATGACAATGTCATTTATGGGCTCTACTCAATCAATCAGAGTACTGTCATCATATCTGAGGGTTGGTGACTACAGTCCTCCACTCTAAGCATTTTTGGGCCATTTTTTTTCCCAATACTGTACTGCAATATTTTGTTTCTCTCTGGTAACCCAGTTTTTAATTTCACTCATCCATCCCAGTCTCGGCCTTCTCCTGGCTTTCCAACCCTTAACTTTGCCCATTAATATTTCTGTTGTTATTCCCTTATTCCTAATTATATGACCAAAGTATCTCATTTTTATTTTTCTGTACATTTCAAATATTTCTCTTGAAATTTTTGCTAACCTTAGAACTTCTTCATTTGTTTTCCTCTAACCTGTTTCTGGTGTCTGCTGAATGTGTCCACGCTTCTGACCCATACAACAGTGCTTTTCATTTATACTGTATAGCCTTTCACCAGCCTTTTTCTCAAATTGAAGTTACTGTCCCTATTCATTAGGTCTTTTAAATTATTAAATGTCGTTTTTGCTTGACCTATTCTTGTTATGATTTCTTTCACACATCTACCATCACAGCTAATGCTACTTCCCAAATACTGTACACCAGGATTTACAGTATTTCAGGATTTACAGTATTTCTAATTTGGAAGCAACCATTACTTTCGCCTTTATAGCATTACGTAAGTCTTAAACCAAATCTTCACCTTTTTCACTAATGTGTTAACCAGTTTTTGAAATGCCACTTCACTATCTGTGATAAGAGCAGTACTGTATCTTCTGCATAACATATGTTTGATATTACTTTACCATGAACTTTTATTCCTTCATTGTCACTTATAACTCATCTCATTAAGAATTTTGAATACAGTATATATTATACAATGTTGGAAATAGAACACAGCCTTGTTTTACTCCCTGTCTAACTTTGAACCAATTAGTAAGTTCATTATTTACTTACACTGCAGCCTCTTGTTGCCAGTGAAGATTTATTAGAATTCTAATATCTCCTTCATTAATGCCATTTTTTTTAAGACCTCTGTAAGTTAAATGTGTTTTACTTAATTAAAAGATTTTTCAAAATCAACAAAATAGTTACTGTACACAAATTTCTTTGGACCTCTAAAGCTATTTCACTTAAAATTCTCAAGTTTCTTTTCCTTTCAAAATCTATTCTGATCATCAGATAACTCACTGTCTCTTCTAAATTTTATTCTACTTAAAATTATGTTTAATAATACTTTGCAGGCATGACTTACTAAGCTAATTTTTTTAAACTGGGTGTACTCTATGGCTCCTGGGTTTTTAGGTAATACAGTACCTGCACCTGTACTACAAATCACTGTATTGATTTTTTAAGTCACTGGGAAGGTCTCCTTTGGAGTACTGTACTGTATATAGGATTACGTATTTTAGTCAAATGATTTCATTCTTGCCGATTTGTTTAAAAATTCTGCTGGAAGCAGATCAAAGCTGCCTCAACTTTTGATTACAGAATTGGTAGTTCAATCTTTATTTCCTTTTCGTTTCCTCCACTTTATTTCTTATCATTGTATAGTTCTTCTACATACTCTGCCCATCTCTCATTTACTTCTGCCTCAAAAAGGATCTTATGGTCTTTACTTTTAATAATCCCCATCCAATTTATTTCCCTTTCTCTGCTTCATTTGTTCAATATCTCTGTACATTTCCCTATAGTAATGCCTTCTGTCATCATCAACTATCTCTGTGCATTTCCTTTCTGTATCATCTTTTTTGGCCTGTCTATATTCCTTTTTAATTTCTTTGTTAAATTTTTTGTAAGCCTTTCTTCATTTTATCAGTCAATTCTCCTATAATGCAGTAGTTGCGTTCCTGAAAAACACTGCATTATAGAAAAATCACATTGTAGTAACCATTAATTCAATTGGAATTAAGGCATTAGGGGTAGTAAGTTCAAGAACACCAACATGACTGACATGGAACCAACATAGGACCCACTTTCACTTTCATATTATTGTTAGTTTTTTGTGTTTTGCATTAACTGTGGTTTAGCTTAATAATATGATTCATTATTAGAAAATGGAGCCATGAAGGAGAGTGCAGAAAGAACATGATGAAATAATATGGGAGTGTGACTTTTAGCTGCTTTTAGTAATAAAATCTTTGTAAATAAAATAATTTAACCATACGAAATGTGAATAAACTTTTAAGAATGTTTTAACACTCACCACAAGAAGAGAAGATGGTTGTTTGAGACGAGTGGTGTAGGAGGAGGTGGTGGAGTCAAGCTGATGATGGAGATGAAGGTTCATTCCACTTTATCACACCAGAATGCATCACACCCTTGTCCCACTTTGTAAGTAAAAGGAATAAAGTTGTTACTATACAGTACTTGTACTTAGATAAAGCACAGTCCGCATTAACAGACATTCAATACGTATGGAAGACAAACAAAGACTGCGGGGGTGGTGGAATACCTTGTGTGATGCTACGCCGAGATGACCGCATAACTGCTTATTTTCTTACTCGAGTGATATAGTTCCGTTTACTCAGTCGCGTTACAGGATATCCAAATCGCATTTGCCACATCCACATTATAGAAAATATGTTCCCTAATACTGTACGGTACATTCATCGCATTATAACCAAATCCCGCCATAAAAACACATGTTATAGGAGAACGTACTTTATTTCTTCGTCTACCTATTTTCTTTAAAATTTCTTTTGTCATCCATTCACTTTTAGCCTCTTTTTTCCTATGTCCTATAAATTTTTACCAACTCCCTAATATTATTTCTTGGCAATTCTTAAATTGTTGTCTTGGTTCTTGTTCATCAAAGTTACCCTCTAGCAATATTAAAAATATTTTTGGTTTCAATTTTATGTTCCATCACTGTCCCTCTAATGCGCTTCCCTAAATTCCATTTCATTTTGCCCATTGTTTTTCTTTTTAATTTCTGAAGTTTTAGCCTTATTAAACTCATTACTGGGATATGATCTGACCCACAATCTGTCCCAGGATATGTCTTGGTTTGGGTTATTGAATGTTTTAATTTCTTCTGAATTAAAATGTTCTCAAAAGTATTTGATTCCTGACAATGTTATTTACATTGTCCTGGGGTGAGGTCCATGTACAGTACTATATATAGATCCCTCGGGTGTTGTTCAAATCATGTAGAGGGTATTTGCACTTATCACGTTGTTTTCTCTACCAAAGTCAATTGATATTTCTCCTCTCTTATTTCTATTATCCAGCCCATATGGTCCTACTTATGGTGCTTCTTTCCCTTTCCCAACTTTTGCATTCAAGTCTTACTGTCAAATTTTACAGTATAATCAGACATTGATTAAACTTCAGGATGTCATTCGCTTTCTTTAAATCTTCATAAAATTGTCTAAGACTTCATCCTCACTATCATTTGTGGGTTTAGCATTCAACCTGATTAACAAAACTCGCTCTGACACTGCCCAATATCCCTTTAAACAGTACTGCTCAACTTCTGATTTACAAGAATACCAACACCTGTCTCATGCTTTTCACCACCTAAATATATGAAGTAAAAATCTTCACCACTAATGCTATTTCAACCTGTCCATCTTAATTTACTTAGTCCTAGAATGTCTCACTGCAGTCTTTTCATTTCCCTACAAAGATTTGCATATTTACCAGCCTCATATGAGGCACTTGGGTGGATAATGAATTAACCAACCACCCAGTATACAAGTACAAATTGCCACACACTGGCAAGTGTGGGTGAATTTACCTTGAAATACTTAGGAATTTTAGTCTTATGCTTAGCCTGGGAGCAAGAGAAGAGGGTTCCATGGCTCTGCCCAACAATGATGAATGCACCTTGTAGCACAGCCAATCAAGAGGCCGGGATACTGTGATGTAAGTGTTGTGGGTGTTAAAAGCCAATCAACATGTTAGGAGATGGGGTTGTGTTGCCAGGGGAACCCCAGTTCCTGAGCCAGCGGTCTCTGATGATTTTTTGCTGTATTTAAATTTGTTTGCCCTATTTGCGGTCATTATTGTGTTTGCTATGGTGAGTGTTGCACTAAATAACATTAAATTTTTTTAAAGTACCATCTTACATGTTTTTAACATTATTTTAGATATCATAACTTGACATATTTACATAAAATGGCAGTTTAGGGTACTTAAGTTTCAATGATGCTAATATTTCTTGCACCACCATAAACAACTATAGTTCCTCAATCAAATGACACCTAAATAACAAAAATCATATTGTCGATTACTGAAATACAGGTTGGGTCTTGCTAATCCGGAAACTTGGGACCAGACTGGTTCCAGATTCGCGAAAAATCTGAATCATCGAAGCCGAGGCTAAAAAAGGCAAAATAATGCATAAAATGTACTATTACTGTCTAATTTCTTTAGTATAGACATCTTTTCTAAAATACTGAAGTTAATGTTACATGCTTACGTTTCACCGCATTACAACTACTTTCACTGCTTGCTGGTCTCTAAGGAGGCATATTTAGGGGTAAATTATAAGTGAGCTATTACACCGTCCCGAACAATCAAAGCTGCTGGACTATCGGGTCCCGGATTAGCTGGGTCTAACCTGTACAATAAAAGATATAATTAAACACTTTAAGTGTGATTATCTCAATTCATGGCTTTGGTTGATTTGTCATTATCCACCTGAACACCTCATATAATGTCCTCACATTCCATTTTCCAATCTTGATTTTGTGTTTGTTCATTCTTAAAATTTTTGGAGTTGTTTATTGCCCAAGGATTTATTTTGCTTGGACAGTACTTGCTAGCTCTCGGTGGCACACTGCCTGCAAACACCGGAGGCAGTGTGGTTGGACCTTTAGGTGATGATGATCCAACAGGAATGCCCAAATTTTTTTTATTGTGTCTGTCCATGGTTGTTCAAGGGCAAGAGATGAAGTTAATGAGAAGGATGCCTCAAACCTTTTTTCATCAGAAGACTAATTAAAGGGAGTAGAGAAAGTCGGGAATGAACAATGTGATGTAGAGGTCATTCATACCTCACTCTGGTAAAGAACCAGCCATCACTTGTGGAGAATTTGCGTGTTTAGCGACGATACACTTTCAACTTCCTCATTTGAGGTTACAAGATGGGAACTTTATACCCATCTGAGATATTTGAAAATGGTTTGTTTGAGCCCTCACACCATGACAAGGTAACACAAATTCAGGCACGAGATGGAGTTGTACAGTACCTTGTGGGGATAGGCATCACTAGGATACTCTAAAGGTCATTTTTCAAATTTTGTAAGTACCTGTACTACAATAGTATGAGTATTATAGATGTTAGCTGTTGTGTAGAACCTAATGACAGTATTTTGCTGTGAAACTTATTGTTCAGTTCTCATTACTTTTATACATCAGTACATCCATAATTTTAATGTTTTTGCAATATTTTATTATTGCAGCACATCATAGCTCTATACCCACAGTTTGTTGCATGTTCACTTATTGTTTAGCAGTATGTCATATATAATGATATTTCAGAGATTGTTATAGGTTTACATCTACAGTACAGTACATGTGTTTTATTTTATTTTTAAACTTTCTCAAAGGTGCTTATTATACAATGTATCTAATGGGAACTTTTAGGTAGTGTTTTACCATTGTTTTATGATTCTTGATGAAGCCATAAGCATTTAGATATCCTGCTACTCTAAAATCCCCTTTCAAGTGCCTCGTAATAGACTTTGCTAATAACAAAGAATGGGCCATGTCATCAGCATCCTCATCATAATTGGGTATGAAATTAATGTTTGTTGTAAAACAGAGGCAACATAAGTTCTTGTTTACCTCTTGCCTTGCAGTGTAGGGAGGGTGGTGATGGTAGTGATGAAGGCGACTCTAGAGTGTTGGCACGTTGTGATGTGGTGCGGAGGAGACATCCCTTAAACCTACCTCGGTCCCCCAGGCCCCCAAGACACTCTTATTATGAGGGATCCACTCCTGACTCTTACCTTCTGACTGCTGTTCTTATCCATTCCCTAAAGCATGGCTCAGGTAAAATGTGTCAGGAGCCACATTGTCACATCTGTACTTCAAAGCTCAGTAGAAATTTAAGTGAAATTTGTGATACTGACTCTGTCACTATAAGTCAAAATGAGGAAGACAGTGAGCTCTCTTTCTCAGACCCTCTCTACAACCGGTCCATTTCAGAGGAAAGGAATGAGGTCACAAAACACATGGAAAAGAATGAACTGAATCTTTTGCCTGGATTACAGTGTTATACTCAGGTTTCCCCTCTGAGCAGCCCAACAAGTTCTTTCCAGTATGCACAAATTAGTCCCCTACCAAGTCCACATTCATCAATAACATTGAGTTCTACCCTTTCATCAGTTAATCCAATTTTGTCTCTTACATCTTGTGACAGCTCAGCTACACTGTTAGAATCAGAGTTGTCATCACTTGACATATCTTCCTTGACTGATGTTACTATGTCATCCAGTCTGATGACTGGCTCTACCCTTTCTTTACACCAAATTGACTATCTACTTGGCTCGGAGAGCAACATAACCTCTTCTGAGCTTTCTCTTGTCACATCAACTGATTGTGGTACACTAATTGGATCATTCCCTTCAGACTCATTTCCATCACAAGCTTACTCATCAGAAACAATATCATCAGAGACATATCTCTGTGAGACTTTCCCTAAATACCTCAATGGTGCAGACATGATGTCTAGCTCAGTTCATTCATTACCTTCTCGTTTAACACTGAAGGACCGTTCTTCTGCCTCCCTTCTACGGCCTGTGTTGCTCTCCTCAGGATCATTAGTACTTCTTCCTCGACGTCCTTCCTTAGCATCCCCCCCTTCTGTCTCCTCTGCATCCTCACAGGGACACTTTATGTGGGAAGAGGTAGGTCTGCAATATCCTTGTGCTTGGGGCAAACTACTGCCAATGTTGTGCTTTTCCTATTTTTTTTTTTAGCCAAGTATCTACACTGTTATAATGTGCATGAAGATATATCAGTGCACCAATTGTCAGTGTTGTGTTGTATTTATTGGCTTATTCCAAACCTTAAATGTTATTGAATATACGGTAATTATTAAAATTTTCCACTTCCTTATTTCTTACTTCATTTGTAAAGATATGAGTAATTACTGTTTCTACTTGTAAATGTGTTCTGTGACCTTACAACTGCTTTTGTAGTCAGCAGTATTTTTAAGATTGTGCAAGACATCATTTTCTACAGCTAAACAATTTCATACACTGTGGTAATACAGTATTTTGACATTTTGTTTAATTCCTACTGGCATTTTAAATAAAAGAACTTTCTAAATTTTTCATTTTTCATTTTGTTGTTGTCTATATCAGATTTTGTCTTAATAAAATAATAGTTTTATATATATATATTTTTTTTTAAAAGAAGTTGGGGTAAAGGATATAAGAGTAGAAGTAATTATCTGTTAGGTACAGTACTGTCAAATCATTCTGTGGTGTTGAGTATGTGAAGAGCTTCTGAAATTGTATGTACCTGTACCTGTATACAGTACTGTACAGGGTATAATGCAAAAGAGGACTATGCAGGGCGAACATAAAAGTGCTGATGAAAAAATGTGGGTGATAAGGTTGAGCAGGTTTTTTGAACAAATGTTGCACAGGAGTGCAGAATGTGGTGGCAGAGTTTGAGGGTGCTAGAGAGGCTAGAATCTGTGTACAGGTACTGTACAGTAGCAGGTCTTAAGGGAGGAATGTTCAATTAAAAGAAGATGGAGGTGATGAAGTGAAGAAGAAATATGGGAGAGTAGCAGTAATACAGAGAGTTTAGAGAAGAGGGTTTTGTAGTACTGTATGTAAGTTTTTATGTATAAGGTAAAACAGCCTATTGTATAAAGGGAGGTAAAGTGTTTTTTATAAATATAAAAATTACTTTTATTTTTTGAAGAGCAAGTAGAAGAGTGGCAAAGGGATTTTGTAACTGTGCATTTCGAATATTTTTTCTTAGACTGCAGTTTTTTTATCTCCTGACAGTCCTCACCAGAGACTATTGAAAGGACAGCATAATTACTAAAAACTTTGTTGTCATTAATTGTACAACAGAGAAATATATATTGTACCGTACTGTAGCTGTAAACACATGGGAAGTACAGTAAGTGCTTTTTTATTGAAGAAGAAAATATGGAGCTAGAAAAATAATGTTTCCTGCATAACATAAGGAATGAAAATATAAGGAGCCATTGAGCTATGTAAATAATCTGTAGGAGCTCATTTGTTAATTTACCAGTTTCCTGTGAGTTTAGTAAGGAATATTTTTTAGGAACTCTTTAATTCTATTTCCTTTTGTTTGAAGGGATAGTTACTTATACATTTCCTAATGACCATTCCTAAAGGCTGAATTATTAGAATTGGTAGAAAATACTAACTGTACTGTACAGTATTAAGTATACTATTATACTATAGAATTGTATTACCCTTTAAGTCATACTGTTTGGGAACACCATGAATTATATTTTAGATCTATCATATCTTCATTCAGATCCATAGAGACCTTTATGAATTTTTTGTTTTATTCACATGTAAATCATCATACATCCCCATGACAAATGCTCACCCTCAGGCATGCATTTTCAAATTCCACAAAGCTTTTTAAGTTTTAGCTTTGCATGTACAGTAATTAGTCTCCAAGATGTCTTTGCTGTCCTCTCATGATGTTTAAGAACGTTATACACAGTATTTTGAATTTATTTTATTGAAAGCTGCACAAGTACCAAATTACTTGATACCATATCATAAAAAAATTATAATTTCATTAATACAATTCATTTTTATATTTACAGTATGCCTGTATTTGTTAATTGACATTTAATATTGTATTATCTTTGCTATCAGTTTTCAAGGTTTGTTGAAGGGAAATTATCATACTCATAAGTTTTGAGGCTAATACTCATCATCACTTTATAATTTGTGTTTAGGCATTACTTAGAATGCACCTTTTAAATACTAATTACCGTACTGTACTTAAAGTATAATACGTACACCATTATTTTTCAGTAAAGAGCGTAAGTTGCAAGAAGATATTTATGTTAAATTTGAACCACACCCCTATGTAGCTTGGGCCTTGTGCATGGTCGTGTGAGTTAATGTTAAGAATTTAGTATGAATCTATTTACAGTATTTACAGTTTTAAAAATATAGTTATAATTATTTGATGGATTGTCTTATGCTAGTCATTTTTTTGTGTTAAAGTATATTGTTTTAGAAGTAAATTGAGCACAGATGATCATTATTTCCTCTATGCTTTAATATTAGTACAGTACAGTATTGATATGAAGTTTTGAGTTCATAATATACTGTACTGCCCTCATATATTTTTTTAACATTATGTTATGCATATAATTGTGATTTATCTGCTGATTTTTAGTTTGCATAACAATGTACCAAATAAGTTGCTATATTTAATTGAAATGAGTGAATACAGTATATGAACTTTTGTGAAGGAATTTGAGATTACAGTATTAACTTTTTATATATAAACTGAATTGATTAGGGCAGTGTACTAATATGACTGATGATCACCTAACATACTCCAAACATATGTGCAGTCAGACATAAAATATAATTTGTTCAAAGTCGTGACACTATGTAGCCCACTGGCTGACCAGGCTAACCTTTTGGGTAATGCAGGTACAGTGTTAACTTTGATACAGCACATCATAATTGCCAACACTGAAATCTGCAGCTTACAGACTACTATATTTCATTAACCTGAGATTTCTTTAATACAATTATTAACACCTTGAAAATTACACATAATGAGGTACACTATTAATATACACACTGTATATCACTTACCATCAGAAAATATTCTTTGTGGTAATGGTCCAATATACAGTACGTACAGCGTTTTATTCAAATCTCACCACATAAGCCGAGGGAGAAGAATTTCTTGATCTCATTGAAGATTCATTTCTTACACAACATTTGTCAGAACCTATGAGGGGGAGGGGGGGGCAATGTTTTAAATTTAGTTTTTACGACTGAGGAGGCTGTGGTGACAAGTTCCACAGGAAAACTAACTTTGACCAGCGACCACTTAATACTAAAATGAAATACAATCTTTGAAAATAGTGAGAAAGTAGTTGAGTAGGACTATGACTTCTACCATGGAGATTATCGGCTCATGAGTAACAAGCTTCATAGAAATTAACTGGGAGGAAATTATTAAAGATAAGTCAGACATAAGAGAATCAATGCAAGACTTCATGAGTATACTTGAGTCAAAGGTAGAGGAATATGTCCATTGTAAAACAAGGAGAAGAGGGAATAAAACCAGGTGGATGACTCACAGATCTAGACATGCCTGCCAAAGAAAATAACAGTTATGGAAGAAACACTGTACTGTAGCTCAGGGTATCATGCAGATTATGTAATATACAGAAGAGCCTTAAATGTGGCCAATCAGGAAATTAGAACAGCCAAATGGCACTTTGAGATGAAACTACAGGATAGTCCAAAATATTAAAAAAAGATCCCAAGTTCTTTTATGTGTATGCCAGGAGTAAAGTGAAAACCAAAGTTATGGTAGGCCCTCTAAAGGATGAAAACAACAGGGCCCTGGAGGATGACAAACAAACAGCTGATACCTTAAATGAATATTTTGCATCAGTATTCACACGAGGCAATGGATAACATGAGTTTACCTGTAGTGTATTTTATTCTTACTGCATACTAAAAAAAGTATGATTAAATTTCTTCATCCAATTGATACAATTCCATCACATCAAAGTACTGTATAGTGATTTTTCATATACAGTAAGTGAACTGTTCCTGTATAGTACAGGATACAGTATATGACATTGTCTCCTCTTCCCTGGTCTAATATTGTTTTAGATGATGATATTAGTTTTGGGATGTTATAATACGTAGTAGTTGTATAGCATAAAATGAGAAGTATGTGCCTGTACAGTAATTATAAAATAATTTTAAAAAATTAATGTGCAGTTTCTTTTCTACAAACAGAAGTAGTAAAGTATAGAAAGTCACATTGGGTGTAAATACAGAGTAGATGGGGTACAGTACATAGATAATAGTAAATTTATAGAAATATTGTACTATACTGTACTTCTATTCCTGGTATTTCCAATTGTAGTATGCTTGTTGCTTGCTAGACAGTAATTTAAATTGATCAGAAATTCTGTATATTGTTCTCTAACAAGATAATTTGTGCCATATTCTATACGTCTGCATTAAAACTCCATTAAAAAATATTTTGCTGAGATAATACACAAAGGCTAAATGCAAAGTGAAAACTCTTGAGGGTAGTACAGTACAGTACATTACATGTACAGTACTTAGATTGTTTGTAAACTTTTTGAAAATCTTAAAATGAAATAGTGGGTAGTGTGATAATTAATTTATTAATTTCATTTTAAAGAAATACAAGATGGGACAAATGGTATTTAAATTTTCTGACTACCGTACTGTAATATTGTACTTGCTTGATATCTAAATTATACACTTAATGTTACAAGTAAACAAAATTAAATACAGTACTATAATTTGATTTGTATTTTTTATAAAAAGTTCTGGTTTGAGGTTCCCCCCCAAAGTTATTTTTCTTATACAGTACAGTAAAGTTCTGTACACTGTACAGTGATAAAATTACAGCAACAAAATTTCTTAGAATTTTCCACATTCATTCTGAGATTTCTGCTAGAACATTGTAATTTTTTAAAGAACAATATTACACATTCATAGTAAATTCATTCACAAACAAAGCCTGCAAAAGTGACAGGAAAAAGCGTCATTAAAATCACCATTAAGAGAATATGTTTGGTGTTTTTAAGGATTGTGACGTGGGTAAACACGGCAAGCTGGAATGACAATCCTCTTGAAAACACGCTCTTAGAGTTGCTTAGACTGTGCTGTACAGTATATGTAATAGAGATACCCTTGTGTTTTAACTATCATATGATATAAGAAAAGGGTTATTGTCCTGGGATGTTAGTCCTGTACTGTACAGAGTGATTGGATACCATGGGGGATGCTCACCTAGAGGTGAATTAAAGGCACATTTCAGCTAGGGAATTTGAGTTTTAGGGACAATGCAGATAAACATTGGAAGTGGTAGAGATGATGGAGAAGAGGAACTTAGAAGATATTGTTTGTCCTGTACTGTATAGGAGGTGAAGTGGAGGAGAGACTGAGCAAACGAGTTATCAGCAGGATGTACTGTATGATAATACTGTACTTGTAGTAAGTGATGAAAGGTCAAATGAAATGGGAAATGTCCTGCCATAGAAGTTAAGCAAAGAATAAAAGAAAGAAAAAAAATCATCTGGGTGGAGAGATGGTTGAGGCATGTTATCATGGGTGACCGGATAAAACCTCAACAGACAAAACCCCAGTCTCATATATAAAATATAAAATATAACACTTTTAGGTTTAGGTTAGGTTAGTGTTGACAAATGACAACCCCGTTGGGGTGACCATGGAGAAAGAGTGTTGTTTATGGTCTTGGCAAATTCATGAGAGACAGTTTCTGTAGAACCATAACAGAGGAGGAGGAGGTTAGGTTAGTGTTATATAAATGTGACTGGGTAATTAGATGATGAAATAATGCACTGCATAGTTGAGGACTTCATTGCACATGTAGGAACAGCCTTGAATTTTAGAGAAGAATGTATGAAGAAGTTTGGATTGGGAGTACGGACTAGAGAAGGAAGAGAGCTGGTCAAATTGGTGACAAGGAATGACAACAGTGGCAGGCATATTCTTTCAAAAGAGAATCTCATAAGATCACACACATAAGGTTGAAGGTCATAAATCAGAGCTTGCTGTACAACAATGGGGAGTATGCAACTGTAATTTAACAGTTGGAGAACATATTAAAGAGTTACCTAGCACAAGTCATTAGTGTTTGAAATAAGATAGAATACTAAAGAAAGTGAGAAGGTGAAGTAGATAAAAGTGGTAATATTAAATGAGTACAAGAAGAAGGGAGCTGATTGGTATAAAAACTAGAGGAAAGAGATTGGAATGGCTAGGTTTCAAGAAGACAGTAGGTGGTATAGCTGAGGGAGTATATAGGAGAACATCAGTGTTGGGAAATAGAAGAAGGAACCAGAAACACTTCTTGTAAAATGTTCAAAGTGGCAACAGCTGTGAGAGAGGAGAGATACAGGGAAGAAGATGGAGGAGGTTAGGCATGGGGTAAGATTAGTGAACACCAGGATAAAGCATGTGTGTGAACAGAAAAAGAGGACAGTAAAGGAGTCAAGAGAGAAGTGGAGGTAGCGTTTTAAAGGATGTTGGATAAAGATCAGGGAAGGAAGAAAGATAATATACAGCAAGGTTGGTAGCAGACACAAAGACAGTAAGAGACTGCATTGAAGGAATAGGAGTAAAGCATGAGCATGGGAGGTTAGCGATGGATAGGGAGATGATGTTGGAAATTTGGAAAGGAGTACAGTGTTTCAGTACTGAAGTCTGTTTAAATACTATACAGCTGAATTGATTGCTGAGGTTGGTAGCATAGGGGATTAGTATGTAACGGCTGATGAGGGGGAACATGAAGGTAACATTAAAGATGATGAAGAGAGGAAAGCCCCCAGGAGTAGATGAAATAAAGCTGGAGATGATAGTGGTTGGGATGCTGTTGGAATACAGCCTACTTAAATGTGTGGAAGTGGGAAGAATGTGGGGGGGAGCTGATAGTGATAATATGGAAAGGCAGAGTGATATTTAAGATCCAAAGAGATAGTGGGGGGTTCACATTGCTAAGTCAGATGCTGAAAACATTAAAGAGAAAGAAGGCTGGTAGAATAAGGAGGACGGTGAAGAGGGAGATAGGAGAGGAACAGTATGGATACCAAAGTGGTTGGGAACAATGGATGCCCAAGTTTACATGTTCCCACCTTTCTCAGTCCTTGCTTTAAATTATTTAGTGGATCACCCGAAGATTGATCACCCCAGTTTATTGCACCTGAAGATTAACCAACCTAATGCTACCTGAAGGGGGTTTAGTTGGGATAAGGCAGAGTTAGGATGGTTAATTTGCGTGTAAGATAAGCTGATGTGTCTGATGTGTCTAATATTCAGGTAATTGTCTCTATCCTCGACTCATCACCTTCTCCAACTTTTGTTTTTGCAATCTCTCTTATCCTGAGCCTTCCAGCCACCCTTTTCCTCATTTTTAACAATGACCACAAAATTTCGTGCGCTGCCTCTCACTATACAATATATTTTTGTCAATCACTCTACAGTACATGTAAGTTTTCTTTCCAACATATTGTCTATAATAATCATTAATCTCCGATGCCTCACCTTCCTGTAGTGTTAGGAATTGTTTTGTTTTTTTATAACTACATTATGTACAGTAATCCCCTTTATCAACCCTCACTTCATACACACACACACACATTTCTTGAGTCTCCCCATTTCCATTGATTCCTGTGACTCCACATTTCATCACGTTCTCCTCAACTATTGCATTTATATTGTATACCCCATCACTATTATTCTTTTACTGAAATTTACAGCACAACATTTTAGATCTTTCGTATTACCACCCCTGTTTTCTCTCCACTCGCTTTATGCTCTGGTTTTGTTTGGTGAGGTTAGCTTAGCTTAGCTTAGGTACTCATCATATCCCACTCTTCTTGTCTCTACTATTAATTGGTTTGATAATACTCTGGAACTGATCCCTTTGTATTCTGTCACACAACTCAACATTTTATCATTCAACACTCCTGCAACACCTTTTTACTCAAGAGTCCCGTAGAGTCGTAGAGAGTCCTCACTGATCCTAACTCACCTGCCCGTTGCTCACCAAGTTTATTTTACACAGTACAGTACCGGTAACACAAATGGTTCACTTGTCAGACTTTGAATCATTATCTGTATTCCTCACATTACATCTATGCATATTCAAGTATTCATATGCAAGGTACATTTGTTCTAGTAACGGAATGCAAAATAGGTTTACCATCCCGACTCCTCAAGACTTACACACACACACATACAAACAAATAAATATTTTGCAATCAATATCGGTGTTATTTGACCTTTTTACGGTTCTTGATGAGTTGCGTTCGTTTTAGAAACAATTGAGAGTTGACTTCTAAGTATTCCAATTAGTCATTGTTTAGTGACTAATTGGGTTCTTGGAAGTCAACTCTCAATTGTTTGGCTGGGTCTAAACTTTAGATCTAGTCAAATTGTATAGTTAACTGTTAGAACACCTTGCACAATATGTAATACAGTTTATAATTTAAAAGCTTATACTTAATAACTGGAACGTTTCCTATATAGACATCTTCATCTGATATTTATTTCCATCCTTCGTTTTTAAAATAATTTTGTTTTCAAATTATCAAATATTTTATGCAAAAACTGGCAAATAATTGTAGATATAGCTAACCTATTGTAAGATTTTGTTAACATTTAAATGTAATTTGCTGTTCTATTGGCATGAATGCAGAACCCGTGCTATGTCCGAGTAGAAGGAAGTCGCCCAGGTGAAGGTCACATTTTCCGGCCTACCACACTGGAGCGTCCCTCCTGGTGTGACGCCTGTGCCCACCTTGTGTTCTACCACGCCACAACTTGTGAGAGTGAGTACTATTAACTAATTGGTATTTAGCTTTGTGTTACTGATAACCAGTACTGTACTGGATTTTGAGTGTTATATAAAAGTTTTCTGTTTTAAGAATAACGAAAACAAAATCTTATGTGGTACTTTTACGTATTTGATTTACAGTACTCACAAAATATGCAGGAAATGAAATATAAGATACAGGATTCATATGCTGTCTTTTCAAGGAAGTACAGTAGTTTACGTTTGGACATTAGTACACCACCCATTCAAAATACAGTACTAAACCATTATGTTACAGTTACACCAACAGTGTATACCAATAAACAATGGTTTAATTTTATAATTATTTTTAGTTTTTCGTATCATAAATATCATAAGCAGATAGGCAGCGAAATCCATCGAAAGTTAAGACTAAAATTTGTGTCATGCTCCGATGTTGTACGTGTCTGTGGGTGGGTGTTTGGGGTGATATCGTCTGGTGAGATTTTTTAATATACTGTAATGATCATATTTATATAATTTAGTGATGTCTTATTGTGAATGCCCGCCTGTCTTTAAACTATCCTGAAAATATATATCCATTGGAAAAAGGATAACAAACTACAAAGTTACGATTATGTCTGCACCCCAAAAGTATATGGCAGCACGCACAATTTAATCTTCTTAGGAAACATACTTCTTACTATGAGTGTATTTCATCATCAAAACTTGCCAAAGAACCATCTTTTATATTAATTTATATGTGATTAATTTGCAATTATATCCTTCAATGTCAACTTTGATAACTTGACCTTTTGTATGCGACCGAGCATTAGATAGTTTAACCAGATTAGGGTCATGGTTCATTTTAGGTATACGGTATTTAAGTTTTCATAGAGCTCAAAAGTATTTATCTGCTGCTGTGACAGGTCATGTCATGAATACTATATACTTCATAACTTAAACACCCCCAAGGGAAAAAAAGTAAAGAAAAAGATCAGCTGGCATTTTGTTTTTGTTTTGTTTTTATCATATCCTCTTCACCACTGATCGGCTCGTTAGCCGCTTGGGCGATCGGTCACGTCTCTGTTACTCACTGTTGGCAAGTACTGGGCATGCACCGGCTCCTGAATGGTGCATATCATTGTGACCCATATTTATATTTAAATTATTTATTACGCCCCAAGAGGCGACAAGCCTAGTCACAAGACCATGCGGTCATACACTAAATACACTGGCACTCGTGTCTCGCAGGACACGCTATGACTTGTGATATGGAGACATTTATGGTGAGTTGAAGACAATGGGAGTTAGCACCCACTAAAGCGTGGGTAGCGTACGAGAATTATATCCAAATTATTATGTATAAGTAGGTGGTGACATATAGTGGTCAGTGGCCCTTCCTGTGGTAGGAGGTCTCTGACAGTGGGGCAGTCAAGGCAATAGTGTTGAAGGGTGTTGGCGTTGGGACAGTTACAGAGTTTACAGGAAGAGAAGTACGGGTCATTCCCCGTCCCAGATACTTGCCAGATAGGTCTATCCTAACCTAATGCGTGCAGAGACAACATTATGCCTGCGGACCATAAGTCCACGTTGACGATACTTATGTGGATAAGGAAGAAAATGAACATAGTGTTGGATGGATACACTCTCAGCCCGTTCACTATCCCTGCGATGGGTTCATTGTGACCCTTCAAATCCCAAGCAAGCCCTGCCTTTTTTCCTTGTCAACTGGTTCTGTTCTGTAGCGAAGTAAATATTTATATTCCTCCAGTATACCCGCAAGATGCTCTTTGACTGGCACTTCCTAGGTGTTAGCTGGTAGCAGTAGAACGGATTCTACTACCTCTCGTACTATCGATTTATATACTGTATCAAGGAAGATCTCTTCAGTTCGTCTTGTGTTCTCGATGAATTCAGAGTACTGTAGGTGGTAGAAATCCTCCTGAGAATTAAACTTGTGAGATCCTGCCCGTCATTAGAGCTTTTTGTCACTGTTGTACCTTGGGAGCTCTGGCTTTTGACATGGTCCCTCCGACCAAGTTACACTATTCATCATAGAATTTCATACATTCCTCCTCTAATTACTTTCTCTTAAAACTTTCATGGTGATCTGCACTGTGCGACGCACTTTATGTACAGATACACCTGAACTTCGAAATGTCTGATGTTTCACCAGAAATAAGATACGATAGTCATATAAAGAAATACATGGATAATTTGATCAAAATTAAAAATTCCTCGAAACCTTCTATACTCATCACACATTGTACTTGTCTCATCTCCCTTCATAGTTTAGCTGAGAACACTACATTATACTTCTTCAAAACACCATTAATGGCTCCTGGATTCTGTCTGTCGAGCAACTTGAGCACACCGATCTTAGATTCATTTTTTGGTTTCATTTTTACATGTTCTTTTTTGGTCGTTCATTGTTCCCTCTGGTCTTGATGTTGCTTCTCTTACAAATCTTTAAACAATGCAGGCCTCTTCCGAGAAAACTTGATGCGTTTTGGCATTTTACCACTGATTCCATTGCATCACGGATGTTTACATATTTGGTGCAACTTGTAAACACGGGTAAGAAATGTGCAAACCAGTGAACGTATTATGCAGCCCTATCCTCTTCTAAATTGAATTGTCATCCCCGATACATCATTCATCAATATCACAGTGTAAGAGACTGCACTCGTAAAACATTGTGCCGGGAGAGTGAGACACATTTTAATCAGGTTTCATTAAAGGACAGGTACTGTGATAGACAATTAGTTAATATTGTAGAGGGAAGTTATTGTAAGTATTAATATTAACATTTAATATTTTTAATGCTTTTGACATATGATTTTGTTATGTGACTTTGGTTATGCTCCTGATGATGAGTATAAAATAATAAAATAACTACGGTTACTCAGATCCCTTTGAGTGTGAAACCTCTCAGAACCCCTTGTTCCGCCCTTCATGGTGTGTGTGTATCCCCTGTGGTTTTCGACCGTGTGGAAATAATTTTGATAGAAAATTCCAATGCTCGATAGATTGTGTTTCTGTCTTCGATTTATTGTTTATTTCTTTCCCATTCGTTCCTTTCCATTTTTCATTCCTTCTTACTCTTTTCTTATCTCTCCTGGGGTCACTTCCCGTCTTGTTCATTGACTTTACTGATTTCTGCTTTTTTATCCACCATTCCTTGTACTTGAATTTCTTCTCTCTTTATATGCGATGTTTCACTATTCGGTTTCCCCTACACTTTATTTCTCTCCATCTCCCTTGTACAATTTGTCTCTATTTTTTCCTTTAGCTTTCTGCGGAAATTGCTTTTGAGTGAATTGATACCAGCATTAGCAGTTTTCAAGACTTAAAACGTGAACAAGAAAGTTTGTTATTTTTCTTCTCGGGTGTATTGGTGAACGCTCACATGCCAGTGTTTGTTTTGGGAGTTAGTGCGCACGTGTGTGGTGGTAGTGGTATGGGGACCGGCAGGGCAGCCAGTAAGGCTTGGAACTGTGCCGAGGTTACTCCCTTGCCGCGCCATCTCCGTCACCGCTACCGCACGCGGACGCCCAAAACCTAGCACGTTACGGTTTCTGCTGCGACGAATGAATTAGGAACTACATTTTGGCGTCATGTCCACGAGCCCGGGATGTCCTGTGATATATATAGTTCGCCACAGTATTCCCCTACAGTTGGATATTAAGGATGTGAGTCTTTGAGTGTTGAAAAACATTTCCTCTAGGATCATAAGTGACGTTCTACAGGAAATGTCTCTATGGAAGGATGTGCTATGACAGCGTGTTATACTGTATATGCAGAAACTATTATACCGGAATTTAGTCTTAGTGCAAGTTGTTAGTGGAGTGATGATGGTGCTGACTGTAGATGACGGGGGGTCGGCTGTATTTATATCCATGAGTCTCAAGACGGAAACTCCCGTCTGATGTTCAAACAGATGACTTGTTCATCTGAAAATAAACTCTCAGTTACTTGGCTGAATACGTAACATTTACCGCACATATAGAAATTTTTATCTTTCTTGATTGGTGTTGGTTGACATCGAAAAATGTTCGCTCTTCTGTTTTAAACTTGAGTGATTTTAGTGTGTGTGTGTGTGTGTGTGTGTATGTGTGTGTGTGTGTGTGTGTGTGTATGTGTGTGTGTGTGTGTGTGTGTGTGTGTGTGTGTGTGTGTGTGTGTGTGTGTGTGTGTGTGTGTGTGTGTGGCAAGGGTTCACAGAATCTTGAATAACTGCAAATTTAGCACTTTATGAAATAATTACTATATTCCTTTCGAAATGTTTCTCTCATACAAGTACGTTTGATACAACTGATGATGGGACGTAAAACTGGTATATAAAAATATGCAGGCGGTTCTTGAAGTGCGCCACAGGTTAAGATCGTCTTCTCTGTTGAGTGAAACAGTTATTGGCTGTTCTAGATAATGGTATCATTTTGATGGATTACTAAAGATATAAAAGCAGAGTTACATTTCTCTGTTCCATTGTAACATTCACATGTGTCTTAAGGAAGCTGCAGGGAACACTTCCCCCAGTGTAGAATCCCATGTTCTGCCTACCCTTGGAGAAGCACAGTTTGGTGTCCACGCCATTGGTCCTTGCTAATTCATGTGGATTATACTGCTTAATATGTAGCAGTTGGCAATTTAATCAAACTATAAATAGTTGTAAGACAAATTCAAATTCAATCGAGTGTAACAGAAACTAGGACTTATGAAATTGTATTAATTTTATTATGTTGGTCGTTAGAAACATTATTCCGATGTGATATTTGTTTGTGTACATAAATCCAGTGTGCATTAGTACTGGTAACTTGCGTCATCTACAAGTAGATTCGCGTGGTTGTTCTCGCCAACCAACGACCGACGCAGGTATGGTCATTCTCCACGCACCTACTCCACCCACTAACTTGTCAGAACTTATACTTATCTTTACATAAGCTCGTTCCTCCAATACACTTGAGTTAGACATCCATACTATGGTTGTCAGTTTCTTCCTCCACTTCCACTCCACCAGTGACGTAGCGTCCCACCATCGCCACCTGGTATTTGTTGCTCCGCCAGGACCAAGCGGGGCGGTGTATTACTAAGTGACTCTCACTCAAGCCGGGTTGAGCTTTGGTTTTATCTCCTAATGTTAAAATTTCAAATACCTTCCTCATACTCTAATGTCCACCATTTTGCTCCCTTTTTATGTACAGGGTACAGTATTCGCTGCTTCGGAGGGGGTTGAGTTGTCATTGTGACATCACTGTGAAACGGGGTAACATAGATGACTACCTTTTTTATAGTACTATACTGTACCCGCATCTGTGCGCCTGTACTGTGGTATGATAATATATGTTGTCAGATAACTATCGTGTATTTTAGTTTGTTCACTAACTTTAGTTCCCCTTGGCGGATTCTTAAAAGATTTTAGTAAAGAGTTGGTAATATGAAAATACCTGTAAAATTCGATAATGGTCAACATTGTAAACGATCACTCAGAGGTCATTATTGAAGGTCACCCCACGCTGGGAAGCATCCACAGTTTTAGACGGATCACTACGAGGCTTTCGTAGATAAAACCTCTGCTGACTGCCTAAGGGTAAGGTCGAAGGTCAGTGGAAGTTTCCGCGCCTTATCGTCAACATTTATTAACGAACTTTACCAACTTTTCATGTTTGGTTGACCTAGGTTTGGAGAGACAATATTTTGGTCAAAACGAGACAAATGTCAAGGTCAAATGGCATGATGAAGAACTGCATATACTGACCAATCTCTTCGAAGATTTCACAGATGGGAGAAATCTTTTCCTCAATGGCCAATTTTTTCCCGGTCTGCTACTCCACTGACTATCCAACGTCAAGGTCAAAAATCCGTTACAGTAATTACGGGAGTATGAAGACCCGCTAGTTGAACCACAACTTTGTTATCTTTTTGAGTAATGTTGTTATATTTCTCCTATCAGAAAATTTGATTTTTTTGTCTACATTCTTCTTGTAACATAATTTTGTCCCCATTATATCTTTTGAATCAGCGAAAAGATCTTGAGGAAACTTTGACCCCAAATAGTGTGTGAGAAAATCTCAAGTTGATTTAATTCTCAAGGCCTTGCACCTAAGGCGAAGGTCACATGACCCTCTGAAGAAACCATTGTGTACAAAAGAGCAACGAAAGTGTGGTTGTGACCTGGGACTAGTATGAGTAGTGGCAGGACTGTGATGTTAGTGCTTGATGAGATAAACACTCATAAATATTGTTATTGATGTTACAAATATTTATTAGGTTTGTATTTTTTTAATGTTTTGTAATTTACACTTTACTTGTTATTAATTAGTTGTTACCGGTATTTGACATTTGTGTATTTATATACGAGTATTGATAAGTTACGGTATGTATTTCATTGTTCACACACACACACACACACACACACACACACACACACACACACACACACTAAGGAGGTGTAGAAATAAGATAAAATTATTTGCAACACATTTAGCAATATTTCGCTTTTTCAGTTTCCTGGAAAATAGTAATGGTGGACGGACCACCCACGTAGGTAACCCAGGTAGGGTACACAACCCTGCCACTCTTCACTCCTCGCTTTCATTTATCACATTCACACTTTTTTCCACAAATGATAATTTTCATCTCGCAGGAAAATAGGAATTCTGATTTCCCTTGCGCTGATTGACAGGTGTGGTTGAAGCTTTACTACAGTACATGTGGTAGTGGGAAATTGTGTTCGTTCTCGTAACTAGGAAAGTGTTGTACTCATATGAAGGTTATAGTAAATGTTAACCTTTACAAAATGGTAAACGCAGATGGAAAATGGGAGACCATTTTATGTTGGCAGGATATTTTTCCATTTTGTTTAATTGTTACACAAGCTGTTGTTAGTGACGCGCACGCAGTTTCCAACATTACTTTACAGTTATGATCTTATATTTTTGTACAGTATTATGTATACGGTTCACTCGTACCAATATATTTCCTTTTATTGGTGCACAAATATAAATAAATTATGTTGGGGAATAAACTTGGACCCTCCTCCTCCCTTCTCAGGTCAACATGTTTCAACCCTACTTCTACATTTCATTGGAACGTATAATATAAAGTTTGTTCAGCATGAAGCAAAAATAAATAACATCCAGGAACAACAATATGGAACTGATGGGGTTGACTCCTTGTGAACCATTGAAACAAGTGAATATATTGTATATTAGCTGTACATCGACTAAATCATTTGAGGCCACATTAAGCCAGGCAGAATACACTTAAGAACCTTGTATTAAACAGTAGGACCCGACAGTGCAGGCAGTGGTAGAGAATGTTTATATGAGGGTGTGACGTGGTTTAGGCCCCGTAGACTAAAGAAGCATCGTCCTGTCCTCCCTCTGAACAACATACGGATCTTACAAATTCAATTTCGTGTTTCCATGCGTTAAGTTCTTGTTCTCATCCTGATTGGGAATCACAGAGGTGGTAAAATGGTAACACTGTATGTACTCACAGTACTACACTGTACAGTACTTGAGACCTGAGCGTGGTCATTGCTGGCCCCAAAAAAGGTTTATGAGTATTCACCGTTTTATATAATACTGAGTCATGTTGCACTGTTAAGCATCTCACTCGTATCATTGTTTCATAAGCTTCTTGACGTGAGCTTCTCCCTTTGTCCCATGTTGAGAAAAAACGTGCAGTACCTATTTTAGTCCTAGACATACTATCTGTGATACTATGATGAAAAGTGGATCAAAATGGTGGACTTCGTCGTACAAACAAACAGTCAGACAACATAATAAACTGAACTGATCATTATATTTGGCTTATGTTCCATTAACTCAGCCAACATACAAGTGAGGGGCTAACCGACTCCCGCGTCTGCATTTTTCAAACGTGAGACCTTGAATTTTTATCCTAAATTCGTAACATTGTTGTGGGATTTTTATTCAGTTGCAGATTATCTTTGTTGGATAGTGTGTGTGTGTTTGTGTAGCAATGGGGATTATACGGGATTATACAGATATAGTTGCTGACATAATTCCCTGGACACTGTCGTCTGGTGGAAGGTCACGTAGTCAAAAGAGATTGGATTTTAACACCTATTTACTCATATTTTTCTGTCTGTTATAGTGTGGCTTTTAAGTTGTTAATCTGACATAATTTATAATGAATCAGTAGCGTTCACCAGCGACTGTACAAAGTGATCATAATATCCCTTAACTTTTTTATTTTACTTAATAAGCAAAAACTGACTTTTGTAAATTAATGATGATAGGTTTTATATATATTACTCATGCACAAACTACTGATCATTTACACCCAGGGCGCGGAAAGGTGTAAAAACCTTTTCATTTGTAATAAAATAAATATACAATTGAGAACGATTCACGTGAAGATTATGCACCCAGGTTATTTTATTATTAAACTCTTGGACACTACCCGGGGATGTTAGGTTAGGGTGTTTAATGATCAGGTGAAATAAACTTGGGTGCCTAATCTTCACGTGATGACGAAGAACAATTTTATTTTCACCAATCAATATAATTCTTGTATCTGTGAGTGCGTGTATCTGCAAGTGCATTTAGCTGTTAGTGTGTATCTATTTTAGTATGTTTATCTGTGAGTCTGTTTAAAGATAGAAACTGGAGTAAAGTAACATTGTACGAATGAGGGTGTTAGGTGATGTGGACTCCAAACC